CCAGGAGGATGGAGGAACTGGAGGCATAACTGCAATTAGCAGGCACCGTAAAGGACACTGTCACCAGGGTAGCAGAAGAGTTCCGTACATGTAGAGAACTGATGTACAGTATGCTGGGTCTTCTGCGGAAGCAACTGATGTACAGTATGCTGGGTCTTCTGCGGAAGCAGATTAATGAGTGTTCAAAGGCCGCTAAGCTCTTCTCTTCATGGGAGGTTCCGAATCTGAGGACAGTAGTAAAATCGCCATGGATATTTTCCAAAACAAACTGCAACTGAAGAACCACTCTGCAGAATTCATTACCATCTGCCACAGGCTATCCAACAGGAGACATCCAACTAAGAGCATCACCGACCCATCTTGGTGAAGTTCCGCAGCGTCATGGTCAGAACCTCTGTTTCGAGAACAAAGGCAGAACGGGAATTCCTTACCAAAGCTAGGCAATCATCGTTCACTAAAGCAAAGCTTCACTTTCGTGCTTGTTGGGCGCAGGACGTCCCAATAATAATCAGCACCTGATTGAGATCGCCACAAAATTACTTCTCTTGATGAACTATCCCTTAACAGCCAAGTTAACTGATGCTCCTGGTGTAGCGGCGTCTTAGGCACGAATTGGAGCCAAAAAGATGACCTCGCCTCGCCCACATAAGAACATTCCGGGCAAGTTATAATTTATTCGGCATTACACAAATGGTTTCATTTAACTAAGTCGTAACCTTGTATTCACGTAGCCCGCTGGACGGTAATCACTAGCAATCATGTAAATACAACTGTCCATAATGTTTTGCAATTATTTTGTTCACTAACTTACCCACAAAAGTTTAAATTATTATGTACGCACACACACACTTTTAAAATTATTTCCAAAACAATAAAATCAAATCCCTCACATTAATATTATGACATGTCATATCCACACGAACAAACGTCCATACATACCCTCACACATAGACACACACCTATACTCACCCACACGCACACACACTCACTCCACACACACAAACACACAAACATGTGTGGAGGAACGGGTGTCATGTCCCTCCAACACAAAGGGAGGATCCTCCGACCAGGCGAGGTGATCATGCCTGGTGGGCCGCGGCCCAACGGTTGATGTTGGGAAGTTGTATATATGCTAATCGGCGAGGGAATTCTTAAATCGCGATACAGGATTAGCAATTCTTATTTTAGTAGTTACTCCGTAGTTCTGTGCGTCTTCATTAGATGGCGCTGTAGTATGTTTCTGTTTCTTTGTATGTGGGAGTCGCCACATCACTCCCCTCCAAGACCGGAGGTCGATATATGATGAGTCAGCTGTCTATGCTCTGTCGTGGAGCGTGCCAGTGCCAGTAGTGAGTAGTTCCAGTGAGTCGGAACTGAGTGCCGCTAGTTCCAGTGAGTCGGAACTGAGTGCCGCTTGTCCCAGTGAGTCGGGGCTGAAGTCCGCTGATCCCAGTGAGTCGGGTCGGTTGCTGCGTAGTGGCTGGCTGCTGCGTAGACGGGAGAGAAAATGCTCTTCTTACGTGGACCGTAGGTGCAGTGTGCTGTGCCTAGACGCTGATGAGGCCGTAGAGGTAACCAAGCTGGAGCGGTCGCTACCTGCGTGTGGTATGCCTGTAGAGGCTGAGGTTGCTGGCTGGCTGAGACTTGATTACTGCTCATCGCTGTGGGAGTGTAGACGATTGTGCTGCTGATGATCTGCTCCTTTTGAAGGCTGCTTCCAATCACGTCGGGGTCACCACTGTGGAGGAACGGGTGTCATGTCCCTCCAACACAAAGTCTTCATTAGATGGCGCTGTAGTATGTTTCTGTTTCTTTGTATGTGGGAGTCGCCTCACATGCACATGTGTTTAAAAAAAAGAAAAAATGTTATATCATTTGCAATTATTTTATTATACTATTTTTTTACCACTTAAGTTCATTCTCAAATGTAATGTTAAGACGGGTACTATCTCTCGAGATACATATGTTTCATGTAGTTCGAGAGGTTGGGTCTCAGACTGTTGAACACAATTATCTTAAATAAATGAATTATTATTATTATATTACTTTAAAAGTGACATTTGGCTCAGCAAGCTGCGTTCGGATACGCACACGTCTTTATTCTTCATTTAACGTCTAACGTTTCTTTACACGTTTACTCTTTTTTTTCCTGTGTTGCTATTTTTAGTCTGTGCTTATTATGTGTTTACCATTATTGTTTTTATAATTTGTAGAGTTAGCTGGTGGCTGAGAAAAACTTTAAGCAACTTAGTAAAGGGTGTTTATAGCTTAGTTAGGATACTCTAAGTCTAATTAGGGATTTGATGTTATTATTTTACTTTGAAAGAAGTGCTAATATAACGTGAAGACAATATTATAAATAGCAAGGAAAATGCAACTATTTCAAAATAATGAAAACAAGTTACCTAATGACAAAACCTACCTACTGTTGAACACTTTTTATTACCAAGACTGGGGCATCGACCGACGAATCTTAAATATTTCAATGTCCTTCATGCTACGTTATTTTATTTTTAATTTGTTAAGGTATTGTTGCAGCCCACAGCAAACCACATAAATATGTGGTTTTGTAGTCGTACCAACACTTACCGTATTTACAACCATACACCGTAGGGTCATAGATTTCTTTTTTAATATAGGTTCAAACATGCAGACTGTTTACATGATGAAAAGGGACTACGTAGGTACCGCCGCCCTCGAACGCCTGCAACTCATAAGTCACAATCAAGAAGTCTATTATTTGGGGTGGGTATAGGTAGATATATGATAAAGGAAAAGGTTTCCTTTTGATAGTTGTTTTAATTTATTAGTGGTATATTGAAGATGCTAAGTTTTAAATTGCCCTGGATCATATTCATCGGCAGAAATAATTAAATCCGACGTCAACGCGCTTACATCGTGAAATGCCACTCTTAAGGGTGGCATTCTTTAAATTCGAAACAGACCAAACGGGCAGTGTGCCCTTCTAAATAAAAAAAAGCATTCGCAAAGCTTGTACATAATAAACTACAAAATCATGTATGCACAAAGCAGGTAGCTCCCTACTTCCTATATATTTGTTACAAATATAATCTATCTTTATATATATATATATATATATATATATATATAATCTAAATCTCGGAAACTGCTGCAACGATTTTCATGAAATTTAGTACGCAGGGGTTTTCGGGGGCAATTCATCGATCCAGCTAGGTTTCATTTTTAGAAAATTTATCATAAAAAATACCGACTCGGTCATCCAGGTACTATATATAGTCACAGCAATAAATGTTTTATTATAATTCAAACATAAATTGAATATTTTTGCCAAATTGCTATATGTACATTAAATTATGAAAATAAAATGCGTTTCCAGTAAAATGTATTTATTATGTTTGTTGGGTGAGCCATTTTATTTTAATATTGTTTTTTTTTTCAAATAATAAAACACAATAACTTTTAGTTATTAATACATATAACCATTAGTCATGTGAAGCGAAGAAAGACAAAAGTGAAGAGCAGTCTAGAGATTTTATTTTTGTGTACAGATTTGTAAAAAATAATACAAAATAGAGGAACATGTCCAACTGAAATAAAAAAGTCACACGTTGATGTAACATATGACTGAAATTTAATATTCTGTTTTATATTTACTAATGTGCACAACTCTTTATTCTTGTAACAGAACAAATTTAGTAACAAAAGCACTAAGTTGTATTGTATGGATATTACTAAGTGCTCGATATTAAGTAGTACTGTTTAACTTTTAAGAGTATCTTGAACTTCAAGGATTCGTCACCCTTAGATATTACAATAAGCCTTAAGATTTTTTTTTTAAATAGTTCATTCACCTGTATTGGATTATTCACATCACATCAACAGCCTTTAATAGTCCACTGTTGGACATAAACCTCTCCTTAGAAAGGAGGTTTATTGGATTATTATCATTGTTATATCACTAGCTTACCCACTTATATTCGTTTACGTCTCTTAAAAGAATAAATATTTCCAGTTTTTAAAACATTTTTCATTGACGTACAGCACCAATTGGTCATGGCGTAAAGTTATATAGCCCATAGCCTTCCTCAATAAAGGGGCTATACAACACTAAAATAATTTTTAAATTCGAACTAGTAGTTCCTAAGATTAGCGCGTTTAAGCAAACAAAAAACAAACTATTCAGCCAGATATCATAGACGCATAACGTATGTATCTTACGTATTTTATTAGATTCGGAATAATATGTACTGTATTGTTAAAAATATCTTCGTAAATAACCCATTATTTTTTGTAATATCTAAAAGATTGGAGTAGTTACTATGGGTTATCTTTAGGAGATAGACACATACCATTGCGAACATCCTTTTAGATCTAGATATTCAATTCTGTAGTATATTATTTTTATTTCAAAAGATAACAAATTCGCACTAGGCTTGCTATCTTTACTATGACTTGAAAGTAGACTTGCAACGAATAGTATATTCGGCAGTATACCGAATACCGAATATTCGGCGAGGCCCCTGACCGAATAGCCGAATATTAGGCAAAAGTATTCGGCTGGATTTTAGCGCCAAAAACTTGTACAGACGTGAATTAAATTATGTACCTGTTTTATGTACCAATGACTACTTAATAAATGATTATAAAAGAAATGAGAACCTTACCGTTCTAAATTTTGATTACCACTATAATTCAAATACATAGAATCCTCCATTTTTCCTATTCAGAAGATGATTATGTACCTGTGTTATGCACCAATGACTACTTAAATGATTATAACAGAAATGAAAATATGAATATATACGTAATCAATCGATTTTAATTTTTCATTTTACCAATTATTTCTCAATGACAAAATATATTATTTAAGTATTCGGTATTCGGCCGAATAATATGTAGATATTCGGTATTCGGCCGAATATAATAAAAGCAGCCGAATAGGCCGAATACCGAATAGTAACCGAATATTATCCATAATTAAAAATAATACCTACTAGATACTTTCTCTTGTTTCAGTTATGACTTCAGTGCATTGGACACAGGAGCACTTAACATTTGTAATTTTTACTATTTTATTTTAAAGTTTACTTAATATAAATATACCGGGTGTTTTAAAAGTACGTTAAAGAAAAAAATTACAGGAATTTTCCCTGGTTATGCATTGATGATCTTGATTACAACCTTGAAGGTTAAGTCAAGAGTGAAGAGCAATTGCCCTTGACCTTTAAGATAACCTTCAAGGTTGCGATCAAGGTCAATTTCAAGGTCACTATGGATAGCCATTGAAAAATCGTGTAACTTGTGTGTTTAACGTTTGTCCGAAAAATGCACCCCTAGCGAATTATTTTGCTGTTCCGGTACTTTCGTAACACTCTGTGTACTATACAGAGTGTTAAAAATTTATAGAAATAATTTCAAAAAAATAATTGAATTCTATATCTAGATCTAAATGTCATTCTATCATTGTATACGTTTTTCAACAGCCTGTGAATTACTGTGACCTGGCTAAAGCATGTGTCCACGACAACAGAATGGTTTGTGCAACTACAGAGAATAATTGTATCAGACGGACATTTCTTGATCAATGTGACATGTATGAATATAACTGCGATTATCACGCTGGTACGTATTCAACTATTATTTTGGTACTTCTTATAGTAGAGGAAAAGTATATGCTTCGTCTTATTAATACTGATCATTATTTTATCTATTTGTATTTTGGCACACCAATGTCCTACATACTCATTTTCCATGCCATAAAGGACTTACGAGTACTATCGTCTAGTATTCTATTTGCGTATAAAAGTTAAGGTTTCGCACTTACACGATATAAACTGTAAACGGCTTCCTGTTTCACGATATCAGATAATACACGTAGCATAATGGCACTTCAGACATGCTATAAAAATTGGAATAAAAATAATTGGTAGCAGTAATTGGTTAAAAAAGGTTTTCCACTATTCTAGAACTAAATATTTTTACGTATAACGACGATGCACTAACTTAATGTCTTTGGTATTAGTAGCAATATATTAGTATTAGAGAAAATATTTAATATATTAGTAGGCTATAAAAAATATCAACAATAAGTAGGTCACTGTCCTGTCTTATCTTTTCTGACATTTATTTAAAAAAAAAATCACTATGAAGTATTTTTCATAGTTATTCTAGAGTAAAGACACCATTACTCACGTCTTAGAATCACTTTTCAGCATAAATATTTCTTATATAAAGAAATTTCTGTACAAACGTTGTGCAAACAAAGTCATTTTTACATGAAATTCTAATTTTGCAAATAAACACCGGTGAGATCCATGTCTTTAAACATTTGTTCATATTTCTGTTACTGGCAAAATTTCTGTTTTTGATATTTGACATGAAGTAGAATCATATTTATCAGCAACTTCTTATGTTGTATATTTATTTAGACACTAATACTAAAATAAATAACAAAATAATTATTGGAGGTATATGATAATATGCATACCTAATCACAGAGTGTGAACGCCACTCATTTTGAACACTTACCAAGTCATAGACATCAACAACTGTCAATCTTTTTCTTTTGCCAATAAATTTTAAGCGTCTTGTTATCAATTGTCATGTCAATCTGTCCGACGTAAACGTTATTTTTGGGTATGTTTTAGACAGATGCAAATTACCGTCAACTTTATTTTATTACGAGTAGATACCTCAAATGAAAGAAATCAAATTTAAAAAATGAAAGTATTCTCATTCGTCAAATTACAGATGAAGTCGTCTATAGACATATATAGTCTATAGAGGACTTCATCTGTAAATTTATTTATTCTGTTTATTGATTTCTGTATTCGTCGAGGAGAGCCCTAAAATATGAAATCTGTAGTTTATTCACGCTGTCCACAATCTTGAAAAAGACCTTAACTGTTTGTTACAATTTGTAGTTAGGTTACGTGTAAGATTGGAGTAAAACTACAGATAAAACCTGATATCGCAAATTAAAACGTTTTATCTGTTATTTTTCAGACTTCCGAAAACTAACAGTACAGAGAAGCCCGTGCAACGGTGTACCAGATTACCAATGTTAAACAGAAAAGGTGATTAATAAATTATTTGAAGTATTTCACATGGTTTTACTCCACTCTTCTTTTTATTTTTTATAATAATATACTTATTTTATTAAAAACCATATTTAAATTCATTATTTACATTACATACTTATAAAAGAACTTTACAAAAAAAGTTTTAATTAAATTAACCCGTCCCTGATCGTTTCCGGGGGCAAGGTGCCCATCACACTTGCTGCATTGCCGCCTTGAATGGCAATGGCCAACCTTTGCACCAGGAACGAACCGGAGCGGGAGTCACTATTTACTTCTGTGAGTTTTCGACCTAGTTGCTTTCTCCTTTCTTTTATGTATAATATATTTATATAATATACTTTAGTGGGAGTCATGGTCTCCATTCTATTAATAAAAATAGCAATTGTCTCTGTATCTAGAAAGGTATTTTTAAAATAAACAACATCAGAATATTAAACTACGGGTAATTTTAAGCTAAGGTTGTTGCTGGCGAAATATAGTGCATTTCGTTAAGTAGTATTTACCTACATAATATAAAGTATATTTACAGTACATTAGTATATTGAGAGTATTATTACATTTTTCATGTTTATGGTAGTTTGTTTGTTAAGATTTTGTTCGTAATTTATGTAACCAATAAACGTTATTATTATATTTTTATACAACCGATATAGGGTTTCGGGGCTCATTGCAGAGGGTGTATATTAATGACCATTTAAGTATAGAACAAAAAAGTTATTAAGTAAAGTAAAATCCATTGCCAAAGATATGAACTATCAATATGACTTGATGAAGCACGGTAAGATTCGTGTACTCAAAAACAACAGTAGCAAATTATTAATAATCAGGCTAGAACTTGATTTAAACAAGATTGTTTAAGGTGTTTTATACAAACATGCTTGTATTATTTCGTTTTGCTTCAAATTATTCGCATATTGCATATTTTTTACGAAACAAATACTTTTGTTTAAAACAGTACAAAATAATAATCACTGCTTTCCGGCGACAAACCGGTTTCTCTTGTTCTTAGTATTATGTACCTTATGGCGTTTTCACCTAACATTTATTAATAGTTGCGTCTCGCTCTCACTTTTACATAATACTATATAGTGCATCCGCTACGTTCTGCATCTCGCTTTGTCGTAATATTGTTTACCACTTGACTCCTTTTAGCATTGTAATTTGCTGTTCGAGTAACTCAATAATACCTTTTAATGTTTATAATATGTATGTATATTGTATACACACAACAACGCTTTAAAAGTGTTACCTTCAAAATCTACTGTCATGCAAATTTACGATACATTCTACCGTCCAATGTTAATTAACCAATTCGACATTATTGTCCTAACAGAGACATGGTTAAGAGCTATTTGATGACCGGTACATTGTTTGGCGTCGGAATAGGAATTATGAATTAACAAATCAAACAAAGGGAGGCGGTGTTTTGATTGCAACGCGTAGGGAGTTGTTAGTTATTTCTCAGCCCCTATCTCATAGCACAGCTGAAGATCTCTAGATAAGTTTTCGTTTGTTGAAACCGCACACACGAACATGGATTAATCTATACCTTTGTGTTATCTGCTGATGTGATCTAAACAGGTGTCTATCTTTTTCGTCGCAACTTACAAATTTTCTTAATAAATTGTATCAATCGGTACTTAGTCACTCTTCTGGTCAGTTTCTTATCATTGGCGACTTTTATCTGAATTTGCAGAATTAAATGGTTTTCTTCCCTTAATACGACATTCACAGCGAGTAATCCATACTTCGAAAGATAAACACCTATTAGTTGATGAGTTGTGTACCTTGGAACTAAATCATTTTAATGGAGTAGTCAAGGGGGTTTGGCAGAATATTAGATGTGGTTATTTCAAACACTCATGTTAAAGTTACTAAAGCTTTTGGTTATCATCCAGCACTATTGATTAGTATGCAATTTATGGAAATACCTCTGCTTAAACAAAAAAGTGCACTCATTTTATGTTTGATAAGGGCGAATACGATTCTATCAGCAAGGAGATAAGCGCAATAAATTGGGAATACGAGTGCGCGAGCCGCTCCATGGATAAAGTCGTCGAATTTTTTAACAATTCATTTGCAATGTTACACAACAAATACATTATGAACAAACAACAACATATACAGAATATATGAGAGGCGTTTTCTTCGTACTTTCACTCTACTTTTCTGGACACTACGCAGTCACCTGCTCCTCACACATCTGCTCCTGGGCCAATCTCTAATTCTTTCACTGCCAAACCAATTTCCAATATATTTCGTGTAGAAATCACCAATTTTATACGTAAAATTGACACGACGAAAGCGGCAGGCCCTGTATATACGAGTATATTAGCGAAGTTCTTAGTACGTTGTGCATCCTCTGTATCTCAGCCTATCCCACTTCTTTTTAATAAATCCCTCCTTTCATGTACAGTTCCTAAAATCTGGAAATCAGCTTTTATCACTCCAATTCACAACGTCCGATCAAAAATAGAAATTACTAATTACCGGCCTATATTCAAACTATGTATAACCGCCAAACTTTTTGAACGGATAATCTATAATCTATATCTATCTATCTATAAATATAGCCTCAAAAATTCGTTCAACCCATACCTTACTTAAGGATTATATCACTAATGCAATGGATAAGGGTAGTCAAGTAGATGTCGTGTACACCAACTATAGTAAAGCATTCGACTGCATTGGGCATAACAGGCTAATTTTGAAGCTTGAGAACATCGGTGTTAGTGGGGATTTGCTAAGATGGTTCTCCTCTTACATTAAATTGAAAGAAAATAGGTCGCAAGCTACAGTGCTGGGTAATTATATGTCCAGTTGGGTAACTGTACCAAGCGGCGTTCCTCAAGGTTCTCTGCTTAGTCCGTTGTTGTTTAAAGTGTACATTAACGACATAGATACATGCTACAGGTCTTCCAAATTGCTATGCTTTGAACCGACACCATGAAGATCTATGCCATCATGTCTTCAGATTGCGATAGATTAGCTCGCCAAAACGACCTATATGTACTAGAGGAATACTGCAAGTACAACAAACTTGACCTCAATACTAGCAAATACTCAGTAATAACATACACACCGAATATTGCCAATTCCGACCAGCTACACATTAGACGGCCGAACTTTAGCCAGATATAACTCCACGCACGATCTGGGAGTCCAAATGTTTCACGCAAGCGAAAACCCTTAAAATCTTATACTGTATGTTTGTACGGCCTCATCTTGAAAACGCGTCTCAGGTCTGAAATCCTTGTTATTGTAAATATATTGATCGTATTGAATCAATTCAGATACTTTTTATAAAATACATGTGCTTCCATCAAAAGATTCCTTACGACTCTGCTTATTATACTAATCTATGCAAGAAATTTCATGTTCTACCTTTAGTAAAGCGCCGTGAGATTGCTGACTGTACTCTTTTTTTAAAGATTACTAACAACGACATTGACTGTTCGGCACTCTTGTCTAAATTCTCATTAAATGCCAAATCCAATTATACACGCTTTAACCCACCAATGAGAGCAGCATTTGCCTTTTTTTTTTTTTTTTTTTTTAACGTGTGGAAATCCCCTCGGACCGTCACCCCACCGGGGTTTGCGGCGGGGTGGTGTGTCGGACTCGTGCAACCGTGCAACCGTGCCCATTTGCCTGTACCAACTTTAGACAGTTTTCATTGTTTTAAGTGTTTTTCGTATATTTGTGATTTAACAATTTTATGTTATTATTATTATTGTTTTCTTATAAGATTTAATATCGTCCACATCCGCCAGGATATCCGACGATATGGCTTTCTGTTTCTGTTTTTCTATTTGTACTATTTAAAATCACTTTTAACGTGTAATTAATTTCAGGTTATCGGCAAGTTTACCCTCTGTTTGGTTTTGGTTCCGATTTGACAGTTCTCAATACAGACTTACATCCGACTACAATTAAAACAATAACGAGCTGCCCTACTTCATGTTTTTCTAATACAGTTACTACTTCTATTTTTCGCTCTACAAATACAACCTCAAACATTACAAAATCTACGACTACTGCTAACATCCCAACAATCACATCAACAACTACTACTACAAATGCTAACACAAAAAAAATAACAACTAATACTACTACTTTTACCTTTGTTACTGCTACTGCTACTATCATTAGGAAAACAACACTTTATCCTAAAACACCTATTACTAGTTATACTACTATGTTTCGTGATATAACTACCTCTTCCCCCGTTAGGGCTACTTTAAATGAAAACGGTTTAGAAGAAAACACGATTGATACTGAAGAAATAAATAATACTAAATTCTTCTCAACTACATGTGAATATAATTGCGGTAGACCTTTAACTTGGATATCAACTGCATCAACTACGAATACTCGACCTGTTACTCATAATGAGAGAAATAGTGATGGTGAAGAAAAGAAAGAGGCTACAAGTACTACCAGTAGTATTACAAAACCTTGTACCACATCAAACCTTATCCCTGAAACAAATACTGTTGCAGAGCTATTACTGACTACTCATAACAGAAATCCTATAAATACACCTAAAACGACTAATGCCTCAGTAACCGCTTTCAATAATCCTTCGAAATTTTCTTCTATAAATACTTTTTCTGACAATGCCGGATCCGAATTTAACAACATAATAGACCCTTCAACCGACAGTGAGCCCGTTTCAAAGCCAAAACCAACAAACATTGTTAAGTTAACTTTAGCATTTGAACCAACAATATGTAACAATTGTCGTAGACCTAGAACGTGGGTTACAAGACAGAGAAAGACTAGACGATTAAAGTACCATGGATACAGGTTTTAATGTTTGAGAAGACGAGTTTACCTATAAGGTAAACTCGACTTTATATATATTAGCATTTATATTTATTAGTTTAGTTTAACTCTAAAGTCACTTTCATAAGAATTAAATATAATAAACACATTTATTAGTATCAAAATGTTCGGTAATTTGGTGTTAGGCCATAATTCCAAAAGTAGTCGTCGCCTTAGTGCTTATTTGTATTATTGACCAATTTTCAGACTCAAAATGTGTTGGTTGAGGAAGCTTTAAAACTTTTTGCTTTCAAAACAACAAAAAAAAAAACATTTTATTTATATTTGTGGCACGATAATGTAATGAAAATTTTGTGCTTATTTGTTCTATGTCCAATTTTTGTTTTAAATCATACGTCGTAAAAGGTGTTGAGTGCTTGAGTGTTCTATGTCCACTCAATCGACCAATCACACACCACAAAACCTTAGATTTGATTCTCAGAAGACATTATTGCTTTTACGTTTACATAAAAAAGGGTGTGTCGCATGATAGTAACTAAACTATAAAAGGTGAAACTCCAGCAAACAAAAAGCGAAATTTTTTACTCAAAAATTTGATTCAAGTACCTAATAAAATTATTTTACATTATGAGCATTTTAAGGAGCTTTTAGTAGAGTAACAGTTAGTTTGTTTTTACTAAAATTGTAATACTTATAATATTTTAGTAACATATGTAAATTTTAAGTTCAAGATTCTCTATACACGTGAAGTAGCAAAAACGATGGCTACAGCATAGGGACTTGAACTATATCAAATAACACGTTCATACAGTTGGATCGTTTCATGTAATTTTAATTCATCTTGGTATTGTATTGGCAAGCAATCAGTATCGTCATAATTGTAAGCTCCTTACATACTTTATAAATTCTGAAATTGTTATTAATCGACTTAAAATTTTTTTTTGATTTAATTGTATTTATTTATCTTTGTTTCTTCAGAATTCTGTTGTGTATAAACCGATTCGGAATATATATTTTTTTTAAGATATGTGGGTGGTCCCATTCTAATTTTATGGAAAATCCTTCTAAGCATTAGCCTTTAATACCGTAGGTCATGATAGCGAAGCAGCTAACGGGATCTACGGTATCCATCCCCTCCTATCTTTTGATCTCGCCTGAAGCAAATGGATTTCATCTTATCTTCAGGGACGCCAGTAGTCTGTTCGCATTAACGATCTCTCCTCAGGCCAGGGTGATATCGGCTCCGGTGTCCCTCAAGGTGGTATACTTTGCCCGTTGCTTTTTTCAGTGTTTCTTTTTTGTTTGTTGTTGTTTTTTCTTCAATCTCCTATTTCTTGAAGTTCATAGTGCGTATCAACTGTATGCTGATGATCTGCAGCTGTGAGCCCAAACTAATGTTGATTACATAACATCGGCTATAGATAGGGTCTATAAAGAACTCAAAACTATAGAAATAAGTTTGGATTATCAGTTAACCCGATAAAGTGTCAAACCATGATAATCGGCAGTCACCCTTCGATAAACAGAGTCGATTTTGAGACTCTCTCTAAAACTCGACCGTACACTGAATTGAAGCGATCAGGTAACATATGCCAGAGCGTTACTGGAATCCTCACAACCTCATAAAACTAATACCGCGTGTAAACTAAGACAGCGATTGTGTGGTCTCTTATCTTTCCTTAAATCGACTATGGTGATATATGCTATTATGACCTGAATGCAGATCTCCTCGACAAGTTAGATCGTCTTCTTAATAACTGCATTCGCTTCATTTTAATCGTAAGTATGACCATATCTACAGTTTTTGTTTCCAGCTTAGATAGTTGCCTATTCGTCAACGCAGAAAAACTCACAATCCTGTATAATATCCTCAATTCTCCATCTCCCCCTACTTATTTAACATCATAATTCTAACTTTTATGCAACAATCATAACAGAAACCTACGTTCGTCCAATAATCTCCCACTACTATGTCCTTGGAATGCGCTTCCTCTCGAAGTCAAGATGGCTAAAAATCACTTCTCTGTTAAGCTAAAAGAAAAGGAGCTTCTACTAAATGTATTTACAGAATCAAGGAGATTTAGTTCATCATCTTGAATTATCGTATTTTGCTATATGTATGCATATATGTAAATAAATATTTATGTATGTATATACTCGGATATATATATTATACAGTTATTAAGGTATAGTAAGTTTATGGTGACGATATTTAGATATGTTTTTCATGGTAAATGTATATTAGTATATGTGTATATCATCTATATATTGCTGTGTATATTTGTTAATCTTAAAATCAAATAGTTGGCATTGAATTTCTTCTACCAATGTCTACCTCCGTATAAGCGCACCTACCTTATCGTTTCTCTGAATCGCCCAATCGGTCGACAGGTAGAGAATGATAGGCATTAGGTCCACTGTTTGTGCATGAATTAAAATCAGAGAAAAAAAATGTTCTCGATCAGAGTATTTGTTTTTGAGTAGTTACAATAGTTAGTCTCACAATATATTTTTTCATAAAATACTAACCACAAACAAATCAGCTAATAATTTTAAGTACCCATAGGAGGAAACAGAAACTGTAGACTTGGCCTTCTCTGCTTTTCTATTTGTACTGTTTAAAATCACTTTTAACATGTGATTTTCAGGTTATCGGCAAATTTATACCCTGTTCTGTTTTGGTTCGGATTTGATTGTTCACTCACCAAACTTGCATCCTACGACAAGTAAAACAATAATGACCTGCCCTACCGCATGTATTTCTAACATAGTTACAACTTCTGTTTTTCGCTCTATAAATACAACCTTAAAGCCTACAAAATCTACGTCTACTATTTACATCCCAACAGTCACATCTATAATTACTACTATAAATCCTATAATGAAAATCATGACACCTACTCTTACTATTACTACTCGTACGTCTAAAACTTCTACGTCCATGCCTATAACAACTACTACTACTACTACGACGCCTGAAACTTCTATAACTATGCCTAAAACTACTACTACTACTACTGCCACATCCAAAACTACTACTAATACTATGCCTAAAACTATTACAACTACAAGTTTCGTAACAAGTATAATGACAACTATTACTACTACTACTACCATTCCTAAAACTACTACTACTGTCATTCCTAAAACTACTAATGCTAGTACACTTGAGAGTACAACACCTTTCCATGAAAAAACACCCTTTACTACTTATACTACTACGAATCTTACCATAACTACCCCGGTTATGACCACTTTAGAGGAAAAACCAAGTAATACTGAAAAAATTACAACTGCATGTGAATATAACTGTGATAGACCTATTACTTGGTTAACAACTGCTTCAATTTTAAATACTCTACCTGCTTCACATAATGAGAAAAACAGTGATAGTGAAGAAAATATTGAGTCCACACGTACTTCGATTGGTATTACACGACCTAGTACAACAGCAAACATTATCCCTGAAACAAATACTGATGTTGAAATACTACTGACAACTCATAACAAAGATCCTACTACTTCAAATGGTCCTATAAATACACCCACTACTCGTGCCTTAGTAACCGATACCTTTAATGCTTTAACATTTTCTTCTATAAACACTGTTAAAGAAACTGAATCAGACTTTGACAACATAATACACCCTTCAACAGATAGTGAATCCGTTATAAAGCCAAAACCAGCAAATATTATTAAGTTAACTTATGTATTTGAAAAAACATTATGTAACAATTGTCGGAGACCTAGAACATGGATTACTAGACAGAAAAAGACAACACGATTAAAGTATCATGGTTACCGGTATTAATGGTGTCCGCAAAAAAGTCTCTCGAGAGACAGTAGTAAAACTATAAAAGTTGACATGCCAGCAGACGCAATATTAAAAAGAACATTTTTAGAAGCTTTTGGTTAATAAACATTGGTTTAATTTTATTAAATTCTTTACATCTATAGTATGGTAAAATCTATTTTTAAGTTCAATTTTCTAAAATTATATACAGATGAACTAGTACGAAACTGGCGATAACATATGAATTGGAGTTAAAATCAAATACCCCGTTTGTACACTTCAATCGATTCATATAACTGTAAGTTATCTATTGGATCGATTGCAAAGATCTATATAAGTATTCTATCGAGAAGGCAATCAGTATCCTTATAATTAAAATCTCCTTCCATGTCTTTTAAAATTCTGAGGTTGTTTTTAAACAGATTCTCGATTTAGTTGTATTTTTTTATGTTGTCAGAACTCCGTCGTTTGTAAACAAATTTGGAAAATTCTTTTTTATTGGCAAGGATATACTTTCCAGGTTGTTCCATTCAATTTTGATGAAAAATTATTTTCTATGGGTGCAATTTATTACAATTCAATATAATGATGTAGGCTTATTGCAAGTCAGTCTTTTAAAATAGTTACTTATGTGTTGAATAATGGAGAGATCAATTATTCAATCGTTTTTTATCTTGAGTAACTATTTATAAACAATGTAAAGATGCATAAGTAACTACCCCCTGAACTTAATCAATTCTAAAATTTTTATACAAGGACACTTGAGTGTACCATTTCTTCACCTGATACTTTTACTTCAGAACTCAAAAGATTATGTTTCTTTTTTGTATAAAATAATAAACCAAAAATGTTTAAAGGGTCGATTATTGTCTTCAAAGTGTAAAAGTGAGTTTGGTATGCCATTTTAAAATTTCTGTTTTAGTTTCGTTTTTATTAGTAAGAAATCGAGGATTTCTTTGTGTAAACATTCTTGTAATATTATTGTTCGAGTTAAGTACTTCGACTTTTTACGGGGCTTGACTGCCACCAGTTGGTCTCCAACTACCCGTAACGATTACCATAGACATTCGTATGTCAACCGGGACATGCTTTCAATTTGGATTGCTTTAATTTGCAATGTGTTAACCTACTCGGTTACCGCTTAGCCACGAGCCTCACTATCGGAATTTTAAAAATCTTAAAAAAACGTGACAATTTGCCGCAAATTAAAAATTAAAAAAATTGAAAACAATAAAAAAATTAAGTTGTTCACAACCAGAATATACAGCTTCAATAACAAAAAATATTTGGATATTTGACATTACCTTGAAATTTCTGAAGTAGTGCAGAAACTTAATTAACTAAAATCAAACAGACATTACTTTAATAACTGTCGTTAAAAATCACTTACCAACTGCTTCACTAATGAGTTATCTAAGTAAATTAAAATAAATTTTCGGCTAAATTATTTTATCTTGTTCAGCTTAAGTCCTTGCTAATATCTCATTCCATATTGATAGAATCATTAACTACTTAAAAATTATGTAGATAACTTCATATGCACAGATAGAACAGTATTTATATAGGATCAGAGTACTTTCCTATTTATTTTTGAGAGTATATTGCATAAGAATAATTGTTTCACTTTTAGAAAATATAACTACTTTGGCAGACCATAGTAAAAATGTAATTTCTTAATAAAATACTAACGAGCTGCAAACCAACTGTCACTTGTAAATATATGGCGAAATAGAAAATGTAGATTTTTCCTTCTCCGTTTTTCTATTTGATTTGTTTAAAATCACATCTAACGTGTGATCAATTTCAGGTTATCGGCAAATTTATACACTGCTCTGTTTTGGTTCCAATTTGATAGTTCACTCTCCAAACTTGTATCCGACGACTAGTAAAACAATAATGACTTGCCCTACATTTTTTCCTTACACATTTACTACTTCTATTTATCGCCCCACAACTACAACCTCAAAGCCTACAGAATTTACGACTTCTACTTATATACCAACAGTTACATCTACAATTACAAACCCTATAACAAAAACATTAAAATCAACTACTACTACAACTATGCCTAAAACTACTACTTCACCTACTACAAATTCCTCAACAACTCCTACAGCTCCTACACCAAAAATCATAACAACTACTACTATTACCACCACGCCTAAAACTCTTACAACTATGTTTAAAACTACTACTACAATTCCTACAACCAAAAATATACCAACTACTACTACTACTACAGCTCCTATACTAAAAATCATAACAACTACTACTCCTACCACGCCTAAAACTATAACTATGCCTGAAAGTACTACAATTATAGGTCCTACAATAAAAACTATATTAAGTACTACTACTACAACGCCTGAAACTTCTACAACTACGCCTATAACTACTAATACTACAAATCCTATAACAAAAATAATAACAACTATCACTACTACTGCCATGCCTAAATCTACTACCACTGTTAAGACTACTGCTACTGGTACCTCAACGACCTTTACCCCTGTTACAACTACTTTAAATGAGAACGATGCGAAGAAAGAAATAAATGATAGTGAAGAGCAAAGCAATACTGAACCCTTCTCAACTACATGTGAACATTATTGCGATAGACCTTTTACTTGGTACACAACTGCATCCACTACAAATATTCTACCTGCTACATATGATGAGAGCAAAAGTGATAGTAAAGAAACTGAGCCCATACGTACAACTACTATGGCAACTACGACAAATAGCTTTACAATACCAAGTACCACAGCAAAAGTTATTCCTGAAACAACTACAACTGTTAAAACTATAATCTCATTACATCCTACAACACCTACTACAACTTCTTCCGAAACAACTACTTCAAATATTGACGAGACAGAAGATAGTATGGATGACGAAAGTAATACTGAAAAAGTAGTTAATAGCACTGACCCCATTTCAACTACATGTGAATATCATTGCCATATACCTATTGCTTGGATAACAACTACATTAACTACGAATACTCTACCTGCTACTCAAGATGAGAGAGAAAGTAATAGCGAAGAAACTGAGCCTACAAGTACAGCACCTATGACAACTACTTTAAATACTGAGAGAGTAGTCATCACTACAAAAATACCGACTACTGCAATAACCATAACTACAGCGCCTAGTACCTCAACGACTATTTTTACAAGAACAATGTCTTTAACAACCAGTGTACCAACGACGAAACAAGTATTCACTACAATATCATCACGTACAACAACAACCAAGAAAAGAACAACTTCTAAAAGTAGTTCTGCAAGTATTACTCGTCGATTGACATATATTACTCTTCCCACAACTTATTTCACTGAGTTGAAGAGTGATGATACGACAATTGATGGCAATGAGGTGCCGAAACCTCAGAAGCTTAAACTCTTTCCTAATGTATGTAAACCTGATCGTTGTAAGAGACCTATAACATGGATTACACCATTACGGAAAACATCTAAACATACGCGTAAAGGATACCATTTCTAATGTATGTTTATATTTATTCTGTCTTAAATATACATGTACATAATAGCTAATGCAATTAATTTTCTTTTAGTCTAAATATTAAAAGATCTACAGAGTTCTTTCCATTTCAGAAGTTCCCCACGTAACTATTAACTGATTTAGTATTTAATACATATATGTAATAGGCTCTAACTGTTGGTAAAAAGGAAAAAGTGATTTATTGTGCATTGCCTTTAGCAGAAGAAAGTGCAATATGTAAACAAAGCTCATCATTATGATGCTGGTTATTTAGGATAATAAAATGATAGTTTATTAAAAAAAATATAATCATTTTCTGTGTAATCGTTTCACGCGATGCAGACAGTAAAGCACATTACGTTTATAAGAACAGTAAAAGACATTTTATATTTACTACTAGTTAATAACCTGTTGTTTTTCTCTTTATAGTTTTCATCAGAAATCAGATATTTTTATGTCAATGTAATTTGATCCAAGTTGGGTTTTATTTAGAAAAACAATTAATCCAAACAAGACAACTGATTTATGTAAATTCTCAGCAATACAAAATACCTCATTTTAGGTATTTTTTCAATATTTGCAACACCAGAACAAACACTATATAACAGTGTTATTGTGTATTTAAGCTTTTCAATGTAGTGAGTAGACATACTTTTTTAATCAAGCCTCCCTCCAATTTGTTTATAAATACTCGTAAAATACGAGTATTTATAAATAAATTTAGCATCCATCATTTAAAACGTAGTTTGTCACGCAGTAATATTTTTGATTACATGAAACAACAGTGGGTATATAAAACAACGGGAACGAAGTTTCACAAGGTTTGAGTGTAAAGTTTTTATAGTATATAAAATAATAATATAATATATGGGTTATGGGTGTCATAAAACGATAACATAAATCAATTGAAATATAGTGGCCTGCGTTTTTTAAATATACGAGTACAGTGATTTGCATTTTATTATCGAAAACAATACTACAAAGTTTTTTTCCCATAACTATAAAAGTTGTTAAAAATGTTATGTGTCCTAATTTCATCACACATATTTTTCATAAATATTTTTTGCACTTCTTTCGTAGTGAGCTTCTTTTACATCTTATACTAGCTGACCAGGCAAACGTTGTTTTGCCAAAAATAATATTTAGAGGTGGGTCACCCTTTATCATTTAGGGGCATGAAAAAATAATAATTTATATATAAGATATAAAATTCTCGTGTCACAATGTTAGTTACCATACTCCTCCGAAAGGGCTGGTCCGATTTTTATGAAATTTTGTGTGCATATCGGGTAGGTCTAAGAATCGGCCAACATCTATTTTTCATACCCCTAAATGATAAGGGTGACCCACGCCTTATTTTTTTTTTGTCAAAACAACGTGTTCCGGTTCAGCTACTATAGGTAGTATTTAGACTTTGAGTGTACCAAATTTCATGTTCCTGTGTATGCGCATTTGCTTAATGTGTTAATAAACAGATTTTTTTTAAACTACATTTTCAGAGTATCATGAAACCTATACCTTATACTGTGCTGGTTCTGATTTAGTAATAAAAAATCCAGACTTAAATCCAACTACAAGTAGAACAGTGATGACATGTTCTACTCCTGTAATGGCTCTTCGCGTTATACCTAAACTAACAGCTCCAGAAGGCAATTACTTATGATTCCTATACTTGCAGAATTTTCATTACGTAACGAAAAGTCGTTTATATGAACTTTAAAAAAAAACATCATGTATACTAAACACCTGTGGCACCTGATACATAGTATAAATAGACTAAACTTAGCTAAGTTTAATCTTCCTAAAGAAACGTGCTTACTAGATAATAGAAGAACATTTCATTCATCATCAGTCACGGAAAACATTTCATTGGTCTAACTACAGGATAGCTTCGAGATAATAAAAAAACACAGGCTTTCACGGATTTATATAAGGACATAAATACACATAAAGAATACAAAATAAAAAAATCTTTTAGTGATTTTTTAATGTGAAGTTTTTGAAATAGCTTTTTAAGCGCTCTTCTCCAAATGTTGACTTGATTGGTTTTTGTATTCAAGAGAATAAACATTTGGGACCTACCTTTGAGAACTACTATTATAATACTACGTAACTACATACTGATGAGAAGCGCAACTTGAAAACCTCCAATCTTAGGAAACAAGAATTAGTACTAATTGAATGTAGAATAGAATAGTAGCTGGTCGATTATCTTGACTTCATAAGGATACGGTGTAGGACAAGAAGAGTAATAATTAGCAATTCAATCATTGAAATAATGAGAGAAATGAGTAAATGTATATATGAGTAATTATTTCAGGATAAAATGAGAAAAGAAAATTGTCAAAAATCGCAGTCAGACTTTTCTCATTGTTTGAAGTCTTTCTAAAAATAGTTAATAAATTTAGTTGTTAAAAATCTCATGTCTCAAATCTCATGTGTAAGAGAAAAAGATTTTGGAACCCTATTTTTATGACGATTACTCTTATGTAAAAATGTGATGTGTAGAATAAAAATAGGTAGGTAGTTATTTCGTTTAGTCAAAAGACTTTGTCATCAGGACCATTATCATACGTTAATGAATAAATTATAAATATTTTTGTAATGTTTTTTTTTTGTTTTATAAAGACAAACTTATCCGAAATATACTGTTAATGAATCTTATAATTGATAGACAATGGGCAGCTGTTATAAAATATGTACCTAAGTTACTACACTGTTCATCAAAAGGTAGCGTTTCGTATACATGCTTACACCGTACACACACATATACCATTAAATCAAAGACAACAATGTTTTAATAGAAAGCTGTTAGATTTGTACAATTTGTACAACGTCGTGTGAGTTTTACCAAATAATTCTTGCAATATGTCGAATTCACATAACAATTATATACTCATAGCATAGTATTAGTTCCAGTACAGTTGATGCTCAAATGTCATTAGATAATAACTAAAGTGTCTATATTAAATGACTGCGGAAATTATTGTCAATGTGACTTCAGAACGAAGGTGTTGGTTAGGTTACTATGATGTCCTTACTTTTTTTTCCACAAGTAAATATCGCACAACATGGCTGAATTATTGTTTTCTCTCTCAGCTAAGATTAGTGTAATACTGTTAGTTATGATCGTTTGCTCATAACTGCAGCGCATACCCGCCCACGTCTTACTTCTTCGCTTGTTCCTACTTCTAATCATCCTTAAAGAAACATCCATAAATAAATAAGAAAAAAAAACAGCTAGAAACTATAGATGTGTTATTACACATCTATAGTTGATAGTTGATTGGCTTCATATTTGAAGCTCTTAACTAAGGCAGCAAACTACCAGTGAGTAGGAAAACTTAAAACAAACCAGCCAGCGTAGGCCAAAACATTCTAAGGAAAGCCTATGTCCCGCAGTGGACTATTAGAGGCTGTTGCTGATGATGATGAAGCTTTTGAAGTTTCAACCAAAGATAAAAAAACAACAGAATAAGTTAGTTTATATAAATAGCTAATATGCTAGTTTTTAATTTATGTTTTCCAACGTTCATTACCATAATATGTTAAATTGGGTGAAGTGAAACTCTCTTTACGTGTACATGAGTGTGTGTGTGCATGGGTGGCCGTGTGTGTTCGGGTGTGCGTGTGTTTAGGAGGATGTGTATATATTTGAAGTAAGCGTTTGTTAATTAGTAATCTTATGTGTAAATGAAAACTAAATAATATACTAATTTCAGTGTATTACATTTACATACATATACACTAGGCTGAAACTACTAAAATTGCCTTAGTTTCCTTATATCCTAAAACTTTGGGGCCTTAATCTTGCTCTGTGTTTTGTAAGGAGGGTAAATAAGGACGGTACTATTTACCTTATTATAAACATGTGATCCTTTTGGTTACACAAACCCTATTTCTTTTCCGTTTAATAGCTCTCGTCGGTTCATAAGATACGTCGTTATATACAAAAGAAAATTAAAACTAATACTTAAGTGAAAATCCAAAAAGAGGAGCAGAATTAAAAGACCATTAGAAATATCTTCGCATTTACAGTATACCATCATCGCTCCATATCAACCATCCTCATTCACCTTATAAAAAACCACTGTCTAAGCTGATATTTATAATACTTTTATTCTAATAAGTGTTAGGAATGACAGCGAAGTATTTGGTGTCTGAGTTTAATAGAGATGGACAAATATGTTTTTGTCCCCCTTGTTTTGTACGGGAATCTCTTCGGGTACCCCCACCGGATAGCCGGTGTTATTGTTGTTATACATTGAATATAACAGTTTTTTTTTCATTTTTCTTTGACATATCTTTAGAGACGCTTTAAATCAAAGGCTTTTTGTTAAATGTATTTCAATTATTAATTTGATAATTAACTTAAGCATCCAGTTCAAACGGATGATTATTCAAAGTGCAATTTTTTTTATCGGAGACAATATTCCTCAAAATAATTAAAACATTAAAATAAAATATACATACATTTATACATTTTTTTTTATTTAGGAAAATAATCACTGAAAGTAGTATATAATAGTGCAGACCCGTCAAATGTTAATTTCTTTAGATTTCTGCTTTATATCCTACAATCATTAAAATAAACCGGGATACTATTCCGATAAGAGATTATTGGATATTTTTTTACTATTTCAGTCAGTTGTGTTTCGTTCTCACACCGAAGAAGAAAAAGAAGAACTTAGTCTTTGGTCTTAATTCTTGTTTGCTGGTTTTATAAAGATAAAAGCTTTTAATTACACTCCAAAAATTAAAAAAAGCCAATTATATCCACATTTCCTAAAATTACCTTGAATACAATGTTTGCTTCCAGACTTCGATTCTCCATGTCCGGATGAGACAACAAACCAAACAACAACAGAAGCAGGTCAAAGTAAGAAAAAAGGAATATTGAAAAGTAAATTAAAGGATAAATTAAATTAAGATTAAAAAACACCTAAAAACGAATTGAAGGCTCTGTTGTTATAAAACCTACTCCGTGATTCCTCTCGAAACAAGGGAAATAAGAGAATTTTAAGAACTAGCTAACGTGACTTATGTATATGACAGGCCTATTTATCTATATTTTAGCTACCCTGACTGCTAAGGCAGAGTTCATGGATTTGATTCCAACCCAGGAAAAATATAGTGTACCGGCTATTAGTACCCGAGACGGCGTGTGGTTTTAGTCGGTTCGAGTCCGACATGCCACCGACGGTGGTTTCCGAGGGGATTGCCGCACGGAAAAAAAAGGCCAAAAATAGTGTAGCTTTTGTTGTGTCTTTTTAGATTAAGTTATAAAAGGCAATGTTTTCTAGTAAATAAAACTAAACTTTTCCATAGAAATGGTATCATGGCTCAACTACTATTTCACTATGGAACTATCCAGTATAATCAATGAATTTTTGCTATTGTTTCGTTATATATTTATAAAAAATAACAAAAAGGGCAATAAAGCCAATGTGGATAATTATTTTAATAACAATGTTTGCTTACAGCTTCTGACTATCCACGGCAGAACGAGACAACAAGCCAAAAGTCAGAAGCGGATCAAAATAACGAAATAGAATCATCAACGGGTAACATTAAGGATATATTACAGATAAGTTGTGTCGCGACAGACCCACTACATTTATATACAGGGCAGTCGACCTGGATACTGTAGGGGATTGTATAAACCATTATTGCTGATACACTATGAAATAAAATATCCCAAACCGAACCATTTACAAGATATGGAGCTTTGAGATTTTTATAACAATTGCCTATTTTTTTTAAGTTAAATCCCCAAGTTTATATATATACATACATATACGCAATCAGCTGTCAAAGGTTAAGGTCATTCTCCGTAGGTATTGCACAAAAGTAATCACTACATGTGTATTCCATGCAAACAGTCCGCACACTAACACAAAATGGCGGCAGAAAATTTCAATGATTTTCGACTCAGAATCATGATCTGAATACACTATTTCAGTATTCGGTACGATGTCCCTTACACTTTGTATTTATTATATATCAAACACAATTTTTGCTTCCAGACTCGACAAGCAATAATACAACAGAATCAGGTGAAAGTTTGGAAATTGAAAACTTAAACTTAAAGGGTAATATTACGAAGTTAAATCTGAAAGAAAAACTGAAGAGAAAGAAGTGTTGTAACAGACCTAGTTCATGGTTAACTACAAAAACAAGACATAGGAGACGTTTAAGAACTAACTAGCTTGAAGGTTTACCTACCAAACACCTCTTTTAGATCTATTGTTACATTGAGATGAAAATAGAGATATATTATATTGGAGTTTGTGGGTGTAGTATTTAGGTATAGTATATGAACGTTTTGCCTATGTACGTATTAGGTGCAAACTGAGTCAAATAAAATTCAATCCATTTAAGAAAATCATTTTTCTTCGTTTGATCTATTATTATGTCATCAGGCGAAAGTTATGCATCTGCACCAAATAATATTTTATTCTGTTTTGATAGCGAATTTTATTGCAGATGTAATTTCCTCTTATACAAATACGCATTGGCAGTATCCGTAACAAATCAGAATATCAGCATATTCCTCACGCGTATAGGTCATCATCTTCAACATTATCCAAAGCACAAATCAAAGTCCAGTCACGTATTGAAAGGAAAACGTCTAAAAATAGAAGCAAAGTTTTTACTAGGCACTACCGGGTTATACGCTGATTCCTAAGACTACCGGGCATCCATATAAGCTTTTTTGTTCAGAAATCCTGATACTATCCATGACAATTATACATTGTTAGATAGGTGACAATACGTACATGTATTTTAATACATCTGTAATTGAACTGTTTTATATTTTTTTTTTTAAATATTGCTCATAGATTAAAATATGATTAAAATATTTTTACATTTTTTTTTTATTTTGCTATATCAACCATCTAAAGGCAATCAGTCAACATTAATGAAATCATATCACAACCTCAATTGATTCTTAATTAATTTAACAACAGATATGCGGTTTCTGTCGTTCTTACTTTTACGTCCCTTTTTCTTTTTTACTTCGATACTTGTATTTGTTTAATATTTTGTGACTAAGGTAGTCATCAATACCGTAGTGGCATTTACTCAATAGCAGTTATTTTAACTTTTTCTTTTTATAATAGTTTCTAATTATGACGGCTTTTATTTACGGAACAACGATTCTTCTTTCCCCGTTCTTGAACAATATACCCATACTAATGTTTAAAATGATTATAAACATCTGTATATCAGACGCCATGTCTAACTCCTCCTTCTCCTGTTTTAATAATATTTATTGTCTGGTTAGATTTGATTTAAAGAGCACACAGTCAAGTCAAATAATAAATACCACCAGCCTTGGTGACTGAAAGTTCTTAGTAAAGTAAAAGACTTCTTCCAAAGGAACAAGTATGTTATGCTTTTATTTTTGTTTGATTTTATCTACAGTACTAACCGTATTAAGAATCTGATTTGTCAGATGCAGTTTACCAAATTTATGACACGTTCCACCATTGCTTCAATGGCAACAAATAAAAATATCGGTGGTCAGTGGCACGACCAGGCAAGAACCGTTTATTTCTAGATCATGATACTCATATAACTTAACTTGGTCAACCTGGGACTTTGGGAATGCCTGCTGTAATTGGGATTATAGAAAGGTTCGAAAAGAAGGGACGGAAAGGAAAGAAACATTGAACAGGCTGTTGCCACATAGTCTGAGCTCTCTAAGCACTATTCATACACATATTACAAATCACTTCCATTTATTGTCGCCATAAAACTTACATAATAGAAACTTAATAGAGGAATAACAAAAAGATTCATATCTTATAAAAAATAGTTTATCTGAAATGCGACCATAAAAAAATGTACTTATGGCATTGGATGGCACAACTTAGTAGTCTTCATATTGTAATAACATTTACTCTTCTTATATGAACTATTTGCCTAGCATCGGATTATTAGCCTCACTGTTTGTACTACGTTTCTTTCTAAACGAATTTATTAAGAAATCATCAGCAAATATTCTCCTATCACTTTTATAGAAAGACTCAATTTCAGCGAGAGATTTCTTCTCTGTCTCTGGCAGAAAGAAATAAAGGTAGACTGTGCCAATAAAGCCAATGGTACCGTACAAGCCGAAAGTCCCACTGAGGTGAAAAGCAAATTCGATGTTGTAGTTGGTTTTAGACGATAAGAAGAATACAACGTAACCCGAGGCTGCTGCCATAGCTGTGGCAATACCGCGGCTCCTGAAACGAATTTTATTACATTTATATCATCATGTTTATCTATTTTAAACCATAAATATAATCCGCATAAATAAAAAAATAATTATCATTCTGGTTGACGTTATAAAGTGACTACTAAAAAAAATAACTCTTGTTATGCGTACATAGCAAAGCTCCTTAATCTAATCGAATTATAGAGTAAAATACAAGCACGTCCTTAGGCCAGCTACGCTCATATAGAGCCTAAATCCAATATAAGCACATCGTGTAATGTGTGTGGTCTATAGTGTCTGTGAAGGCCAGCGCCCGCAGTCGATGCTGTCAAACATGCTGCTGAACTGCTCACATACGTGATATCGCCTAGATATTTAGTACTACTACATTTTATAATAGTATCAATAAACAGAAAACTTACTTGAAAGGAAACACCTCCGATAGCAAGATCCATGGTATGCCGAGTCCGTTAAAGCAAATTAACATCAAGAATAATACAACTGGCAATACGTCCTTGCGATCAGTGAAAGTATGAACTTCGTAGGAGAAAACTGTCAGAGGAATGTTAATGTGAGCGTAGATACTCAGAGCTAGGTTGCAGCCAGCTGATGCAAGTAATGATCCAAGGATGAGCTTTCTTTTGCCAACAGTCTTGACAATAAAGGCAGACAGAATACTCATCAAGATGAAAAGCGCTCCAGATATCACCTGAAATCAACAGTCATGAATTTCGCTTTGATGATTCTAACCTGCAACGTAACTGGTCTGTTGTGAGGTGGTGTAGTGTTGCTAGAGCGTAAATAATCTTTCAGAAATATAAGACAGATTAAGAATACGGAGTGTCACAACCCCTATACATCCCGTGGGTGTCGTAAGAGCCGACTAAGGGAGCAAACTCTGCGGAACAACAGCACTTCAAAGAGAAGGAAAACTAGACACAAACCCTATACCAACCCGTCTGGCCAGCGTGGTATAGTAGGCCAAAACCTCCTTTCTAAGGAGAGGCCTATGTCCAGCAGTGAACTATTATAGGCTGTTGATAGGATGTGTATTAAAGACTAAAGTACAACAAAATACAATAATCTGGATTGTACAATACAGAAAATACAGATTATTAAAAAAAGGAAAATGTTTGTAGTTTTTGACTTACCACTATGTTCTTAGGATCATATTTCATTCCCAAAGCTTTACAAACATTTACCATATTCGGTCGAATAGGCATTGTGCCGCTCATGGTATGGAAGAAGAAATACGCCATAACTAGCATGAAAGGCCTCATAGTTTCTTTGACAAAGAAAACGTACTTTATCTTCATAAGTATTCTTCTGTACAGACTCTTTTTTTCATGTTCACAAGGTTCAATTTGTTGTTTTTCTTGACCACACAGAACGCATTGGCGCATTTCTTCATTATATTCTAGAAGCACGTTAAATTCTTCTTCAACGTCTATTGGTTTCGACCAGCCTCTAAGTCGGCAGAGTGAATCCAGGGCCTCTTTCTGTCGACCTTTCGATAGAAGCCATATTGGAGTTTCAGGTACCTTTAATTAAAATACAGATCTAGATATTAGACAAAATATTTCTTTCAACTTCACTTCTTTTCCTTATCATCAACTTAATAATCATATGTTAGTTTTAATATTGTGTAGTATAATTAGGATATCTATTGTACCTTAATACGTAATAATCTAATCATACGCGAATAAACAATGGTTCTTGGCAATACTTTTACTCTTAAATTGATTTTATTTGAATACACTTTGACTTTTGTCATTGATTACTTAAATACGGACGGAAATATTACATAGTTATTCAAATTAGATTAACTAAAAGGTAACCATTTTTCAATCTCTAATCGTCTCTAATCTAAATTTCAAAATATAAAAATGCCAGGCGGACAGGATAAGTCTAATTACATCATTAGGCTTAAAATCAACCTTTTCGATATTTTGATATGATAAACGAGCAGACGGGTCACCTGACGGAAAGTGACCACCGACGTCCATTAACGTCCGCAATTTAGGAGTCACAAGCACGTTGCCGGCCTTGGATGTAGGAGTCTTTTTTTAAGGTAGCATCAGTAGGAAAATACTTTTCCGTACTGAACCGACGTAGGAAATACTTTTCCGTACTGAATTTCATAACAATCATCTTTTTTTTATTTTGTGCCAGTATTGCTATAAAATCCATAACTTCTATCTGATAGCACAGATGTTAAAATATAATTCTAAAATATCGATTGGACGATTTAAATCTCATTATATCAAATGTTTAAAACTCAGTACTTATAGTTACATGAAAGTCATTTCATTTCATTTTAGTATAAGTACTTATTTTAAAATAATATCGTACTAATTAAACTGTGTCAGTATTACAATAGAACCAATAAAAAATTATAATCGATGCAAGTAATCGCCTGCTGGTTGAAATTTCGACCATAACTCAGAAAGTTTTAGTTTTTAATTCATTGGCTTATATTACATAAACAGTCATTGGATAGATTGACTTACCATGACAAGTCAACACTATAATAAATAACTACTACCGCACCTTCGGTAGAATAAAGGCACAATTTAAAAAGGGCCTGATTGCTAAAATGAATTAATAAGTATGCTAAAAGGAGGAGAAAAAAAGACGTTCATTAAGTTCCTTCAAAAACCGCCGAGGTAAAATAGTGATTTTGTCTGACTAACGTCTTTTTTTACTTTTTTTGGCACAACAAAGTCTCATTGGTCAGTTACGCCGTCGCGTCGCGTCGGTTGGCGGCCCTCAAGGCCACATCTACTACAGAAGAACACGTATGCCTAGTTTATAATCGCAAATAAGGTTATAACTACAAAGTAATTTGTACGTTGATGGAACAAGGGCCTAAATGTTTTTTAATTCTTGATAACTACTTGCCTAGGAAGTATATATTTAATAAAAACAAGCAAGTGCAATATTAACAAATAAGGACCATATTGACTCCACAAACATTTAAAATTTGAAAACTTCAATTTTGCCCTTGTATTACCGAAGGTGCGTGCTGTAAAAGTTTATTTAAATATAATAAAAATAATAATATAATAATATTCTACCACATTCACACAACGCCATCGAGTCCCAAATTAAGCAGAGCTTATACTATGGGTACTAGACAACTGATATAAATACATATATATATATATATATATATATATATATATATATATATATTTGTAAATACATACATATTATACATAGAAACACCCAGACCAAATCAAACTATAAAATTTCATGCACACAAATGTTTGACTTGAGCGGGAATCAAACCCGCGACCTTCAGATTAGCAGTCCGTTACACAAACCACTACGCCATCCGGTCGTCGTAGATTACAGTAACGCTTATGTTACGTAGATAAATGAATTAAGATAAAACGTAAGCGGCATTTTATCACCAGCCATTTACACATACACGGTGATTTTGAAAGCGTTTTGGAAACGAAATATTTGAATTTGGAATCATCTATAGTACCAATAAAAATGATTAAATCAATTGTATTGTTGTCTAAAAAAAAGTTTCAGTTTTAATATTCATTTTTACTCGATCGACTTGGAAAGTAGTAATGGACTGATCGTTCATTCATTATCTTATATGAATGAAACACGTCCGTGGGCGTTTCGGCGGCCGCTGCGCACCGCCGACGCTAACAGCAGCTGACAAAACTATACCTATAGGCGCGAGCTAGCGAGTACTTACGTAGATAGACTCCAATTTGTCCTTCATACTTTACACGGGCTTAGGACCGTCAGAAATACCTATTTTATTTAAACTTCTTTTCGATTATTAACCACGATTGTTCTTTTCACAACAAATCAATTTATCAACGGACTGTAGGTATAAATATTTCAGGCGTATTTAAAAAATCGGAGCTATCTACAGAATAATTAACTTACATACCTATTTACACTATTTACAGTTCTCTGTATCGAAGGAACTGCTCAAAATGGAGTCCGCTGCATTCAATACACAAACGTCCACGTTTAATGCAATTGTTTTTTAATTTTCTTAATGTGTCTCTATCACTTTTCACTTTAAAGCGTCCACTATCGCAATGCGTAAATTATCACGGCTTTCATATTCCCGTGTATTAACAAGTCTTTTTATTTCCGACCATAAGAAAAAATCCAGGGGCGTTAAGTCCGATCACTAAGCTCATTGTCCAGGTATGCACGCACTACACTCCGGCGAATAATAATTAAAACGTCCTTGACCTTGCGCATGAGTAGGCGCACGAAATTGTCCGTGGTCGAGAAGACGTTGGGTTGCAGCCAAGATGGTAGGTGTGGAGGGAATTTGAGGGCTTTCAATTCCACGTAGCCGTAGTGCATTTAAATGCTCCGGCTTGGGAATACAAACGCCGAGCCTCTTCCAAGTTGTAGTTGGCAGTAGCGTACAGCTGTACCATTGCCAAGAAGTATTCCACGTTTGAAAATTCGTACTGTCGACTCATTTTAGCGCTAATCAATGCAGCGTGCCGTCACGATGTTATGGTATTACTTTACTGACCGACTGACGATGACAGGTGAGCCCCGCGCATGCGCCTACGGGGCAGACGTCATTGGTTGGACGACTCCGGCGCAACTCGGTAGCTTTGTTTTTATTGGCGAATACGATTTGATGTGACTCGATATTAAAACGCATAGTATTTCTATTCGTAGTATTTACCTACGTGTGATTGAATAGCCTACTACTACTGGTTCTGACTTTTTCTCTGTAAACGATATGAATATCGACTTTGATGATAAAAAAAAATATATTTTATTAAATTAACGTTATATATAGCTTCTGTTACTGATAAATAACTCAAAATTTTCTTTTCCAAAACGCTTTCAAAATCACCGTGTATAAATCAGTCATTTATTTTTTTATAACGGCATCAATGCTTGTATCAATGCTTGTGTATAAATTCTTTAATGAATACTACGAAAGAAGTTACTATAAGTATTCAACGCATTTTTATATTATGCGTTATCACTGATTTTGTGATAAAAGGTTACGTGAGGTGACTTCAGCCTTATTCATTTGAATGAATTACTAATACTAAAAAGCTATTATCAATATTATATTTAACAAAATCCAAAAAGAAATCCGAAATGAGAGAATATAGGTTCTATTAAGATTTTCAGATGTTCAAAAATTAATCCATTTGAAAATCAAAGAAATAAATTTTATTGTAAAAACGGTTACTACATTTATTATATTTAAATATAGCTGGATCCATGTACCAGATTCTTTTATTTTCTAAGAAAATAGAAAAATAGTAGGTAATGTTATAAAATCGTTGCTATTTCAATATTCTTATGCCATTACTACAAAGATCAAGTAAGCAATAAAATCTGTAGCAGCAATTTTATACAGAGTACTTCCCTGTGCACAGTACTTCATTATGAGACTTTTATTAAAATCTTATTCTATTTTTGGCAAAGCGTATTGTGTATTGTGTATATATGGCAATATTTCCAAAGCGTATACATACATTAATAGGTATAAGTATATATGTATATGTATAGGTAAGTGCAGTAAGGTCACCTACAAAGAGCACTAACACCATTGTAGCGAGTGGTACAGTTAGAGCCACGAGTGCTGCTTGACGCCATGGTAGAACAGCACCGAGGAAGTATGCAGCAAACATGCCCGTAGACGTAAATCCGTTTGTTAGGGTTGTTAAAATGCCTCGAATTGATGGATCACTGAAAAGTTGTATAAAAAAAACATTAATGCTGTATCATTATGTAACAAAACATTTGTTAAAATGATAGTAATAATTAATAACAGGTAAAAGATCTCTTTATCACTGTTGCACTATTTATTTATTGTATAACTAAGTGGTGTAATATAAATAAATATTATGAATAATAAAATAAATAAAATAAAATATTTCAAGTGGAATTTCATTCTGTGATTAAAAATACAGAAATCAAATAACTGAACTACGAAGACCTACAATAATAATGATATGTAGATTTCAGTGGACTGAACAAATTTGAATCTTAAGGTTAGTGTACTTTTATAAACATTGCAGTTAGGTACTACTTGTCTTATCTAACCTAAAGTTTTGGAATACTTTACATTTTAGATTAAGGATTCTACAGATTTAAAATTAATAACTAGGTAAATTATAAGCAAGTGTCTGGCATGCGAGGTTTCAAGAACGGCACCTTTGACTTTCCTATCACTATCTATAACAGAATGACCTCGACCTAATACTTTGTGGTGTATTAAAATTTAGGTCATTTAAGCTGTTCATTCGATTTGTTAACATTATAGTACTATAACGGTAAATTCTTAAAAATAACGTCATCTTCATAAATATTTACATTTTATACACAGAAACGCCTTTTTTTATGCGTGGAAACCCCCTCGGGCTGTCACCCCACCGGGGTTTACGGCAGGGCAGGGTAGTGTGTTGGAATCGGACCGACTGAAATTAAACGCGGTGTGCCCCTCTGCGCCTGTGATAGAAGGGATCTGGGAACTGCTGTTATTAAGACATCCGGACCCCTCCTAGCACCTGCCCGCAATAGCGCGGGCATCACCTTCGGGTACATTCTCTATTTAGGCGACGTCCGGTACACGCGGATGTCACGTAAATACGCGGCTAGCCGTTATGGCGGGTGGAGGCCGTCCACCCGCAGCCACACTCAGGGCAGCGAATTGGGTCCGAGTGGAGGTCATCCTCCCGGGCCCTCTCCGTCGCCTCCTTCAGTGACATGATATCTTCGCAGAAGGATGCGACCACAGTAAAACATCTGTCGCTACCAGCCATGGAGCGTATGACGGCCGGTAGCGAGAGATTCCCTTCAATGACTGCAAGGAGGACCCAACGCTGAGACTAAAGTTTTAATATAGTCAGCAAAATGTGGGCGATTTTAATATGCCTCTGTCTATCCTAAAAATGATCTTTAGATAAATAACAACACTCAAAGTATGAAGATAAATCTTAGTTTCAAAGGGTTACGTTATAGCAACAATGTTACCAGAAAATCAAATCGAAAGAATATACTTCCATTTGCATCTAGATGATTTAAATACGAGTACATAAGAATAAAAACTTTAGTATGTGGTTCGTAAATTAGGAAAGATACGTTTATACACACGTGTATGTATATGTTGTTATTGTAGAGGTGACAAACGAGCTTGTACAAACGCGTTGCAGGCCTTTTAAGAAGGAGTGCGCTCTTAATCCCTTTAATTAACGTGTGGCAACTAATACCGAAGTGGCAAGTGGCTTTCCCTTCATGTAAATCATGACATCAAAGAGTATGATCGTACATAAAACAGGTTTTAAATATTTTATGTCCGTTGACTCAGTATGTCATGCTTCTAATTTAATAACAAAATAATAATATCAAACTTCTAATTTACCTGATTTCTCCTACGTATGTGACGGAAGGTGCTTCCATGATACCCGTACCAATCCCCAGTAAGGCGTTCCCAATAAACAAAGTTGGTACATTAGACGCATAGTACATGAGTAGCCACGCAATCACATGTGGTATGTTCACCAGAAATAATGCCTTCTTTCTTCCGAAGTGATCAAGTAAAGGTCCTGAGAATATACTGCCCAGAGGCTGGCAAAGAAACGCAATACTACCTGGAAATAATTAGATTAAAGAAATAAGTTAAATTTGAAACTCGATATAACTTAATTAATGCTTAATGGAACGTATACGATACATAACTATATAGTAATAATTTTCACAAAAAAATAATTATAACTACATTTAATTACGACACAAATCGTAACCAAACATTTAGAACCATAAAGTTCTTTTCGAAATCGAGTTCCGAGAGTTGAAAAGAGACTCGCAGTGCTGCAAAGGCATTCAGCATTCATCACAGTTGTATGCGAAGCGAGACAGACTGACGCCAAAGTATTAAGACGTAAGACAGTCTGTCACAACGTAATACAGTGTCTCAATTGAAATTTATTTTAATTAATAGAGAATTTACTTTCAAGTTAGGCTTATACATAACTTATTAAATAGATAGTTGGTATGAAGTAGCCAATTTTAACTAATATAGACGACGAAACACCTAATTCCTAACAGGTTTTTGAGCGGATGATTAACAGTGTACTGTGTTGAGATCAAACCTTTCTGTACATGAGGCAATAGTTCCGCTTCAATAATAATTTATTAAACACATATTAAATAACAGAAATGTGATCTAAACCACATGTTATTTTAAAAAAGGTATTAAGTAACTACATTATTATGTACACATGACTTAAGACAAAAGCTCGACTGGGACTCCGCCCAGCATACGCTGGAGAACTGTCCCGCGTGGGCTAAAAGAAACCGTTAAACGGGATCGGGAGAAGGTCGATCCCGTTTAAAAACAAAGTAGAAGACGTCGCCAGAGCGGGGGATAGGACGGCGCGCCATCCGGATAGGATTTTCCTTTCCTTTCTTTTTTTTTAACGTGTTTAAAACCCCTCGGGCCGTCACCTCACCGGGGTTGCGGGAATCGGACCTACTAAACACACGAGTGAATTCTCTATTTAGGAAACCTCCGGCACACTCGGACTTCGTCTCCTCGTGATGGCTACTATAGCGAACTCGTTCCGTTCACCCGAGGCCACACTCAGGGCGGCATAAGCCCTAATGCCGCCTGTAAATTGGTTCCGAGTGGAGGTTATTCTCTCGAGCCGTCACAGCCGTCTGCTTAGATCAGGTCTTCAGAAGGGTCATCCTATCGCCGGCCGCAGCCATTTCGGTCTAGTCGCAAAAACAAAACGATCGGGGTGCAACAAGTAATGATTGGACAGAAAGACGGAGAGTATCTTGCGGGCCTGGCTAGGTGCAGTGTTGATCCGGGGAGGACCTGAAATAATAAGGTCCGGGTGCTCTCCACTATAGGGCGCCTGGGACCGTATTATTAAGGGCTATTTTATCTTTAATTTGAAATAATGATGTGTTTTTAATGGTTTACAAAAAAAATGAGACATAAGTCGAAAGCTGGACTCGACTCGTTCTACTACTTTCGATAAGTGTATCCACGATTCTGGTTGCAACTACCGCCAGATACTATTAATAAAATTGTAATTTCATTGTTTATATATTTTAAATCTTTTACCTATACCTAGATAATTTTAAGCCGAAGTGTATAACGTCAAGATGTCTTAATTTTTGCAATTAATCGAAGTACTTATTGTTATGAGAAGACGAACGGCAAAACCCTAAATGTTTTATTGACACACTAAGATAACATTCTCAAGCAAAACACATGACAAAATCTCGATCGACGTTTGCTAAGTAAGGTAATGCTGAGTGTTTATAGAGCATGTACGATAAGCTTAAACAATCAAACTAGATTATGATGTGCATTATCTGAGTTTATTGTCTCTTTACAGTTACAGGTATTTAGTATACAATACCCCACCAAAACTATTTCATGTAAAACGTTGCCAAGACGAGACTACATGGCTCGCACTGATAAAAAGTTATCAGTTCTCAAGTAGAGCCAAACTTCTAACTCTATATGTCCCCTTACTTTACCAGCCCTAACTTCACAATCTCTACACCTCAGTCAAAATATGTGGTTTGGCCGTTTCCATAAGAAAAGAGACAATAGTAGACTTAGGCCCGACACTGGATGGAGGGTGGCGGAGGAGGTGGTCACTTTGTCGGACCACCGCCACATCGTATTTAATGTGGCTATCCGCCGCACGGGCGCAGTCCCGGACCGCCGCAGTAGCGGCCCTCCGCGACGATGGGCCCTCAAGCGGATGAACCGAGATATGCTCGTTGCCGCAGCCATCGTCGCGGATTGGCCAGAGGAAGAGGAAGTACAGGTCTTGTCCGATCCAGAAGCGCAGGCTGCTTGGTTCCGTGGCATTATGACTGACGTCTGTGACGCGTCGATGCCACGGGTCAAGCAGGGGGGTGGGAGAGGTTCTCTGTACTGGTGGACACCGGAACTTGAGCAGCTTCGCACAGCATGCTCGAGAGCCCGTCGCCAGTTCCAGAGAACCCGAAGACGTCGGCGAGCCACAGCCGAGGAGATCGCTGAAGTTAGGCGCGAGTACGGCGCGGCCGCTAAGGCCATTAGCCTTGCGATAGCGGAAGCCAAGGCTCGGTCCTGGAGGGGGCTCATAGAGGGACTGGACAGGGACCCATGGGGGCGCCCTTACAAAATTGTACTGGGCAAGCTCAGACCGTGGGTCCCGCCACTGACGCAGACCTTGGACCCGGAGTTTGTGCGAGGAGTGGTAGATACCCTCTTCCCCGGGGACCGGGTCAGTCCCTCACGCCCTCCGTCGCCGTCGGAACCATTCACGTGGTCCGACGACTTTGACGTGACGGAGGAAGAGCTGGACCGAGCCGTGAAGCGACTCGCCGCCCGCAACACTGCCCCGGGCCCTGATGGGATCCCGGGCCGAGCATGGGTGTGCGCTTTGGTGGTCCTAGGGAATAGGCTGAGGCGGCTGTTTAACAGCTGCCTCCGCAATAGCGTATTCCCTGCCGGCTGGAAGGAAGCCAGGCTGGTACTTATCCAGAAACCTGGCAGGGCCGCAGATTCTCCCTCGGCGTTCCGACCGATATGCCTGTTGGACGAGGTGGCGAAACTCTTTGAAAGAGTTATCGCCGCCCGTATCAACCAGCACCTGTCGCGAGTGGGCCCCGACTTATCAGACAACCAATTTGGCTTTCGACAGGGACGCTCGACGCTGGACGCGATTGCACGCGTCCGCTCCTTGTCGGAAGAGGTTGTCTGTCGGGGGGGAGTGGCGTTGGCCGTTAGTCTTGACATTGTCAACGCCTTTAACTCTCTTCCGTGGTGGGCGATTAGGGAGGCACTTGTGTATCACCAGTTGCCTCCCTACCTGCGGAATATCATCGGGGTTTATCTCTGTGACAGATCCATATCGTATATGGGTCGGGACGGCGAAGATTGTCGAAGGGAGGTCACGTGCGGGGTTCCCCAGGGGTCGGTCCTGGGACCTCTTCTGTGGAACCTCGCGTATGATGCCGTCCTGAGGACCAGCCTTCCCCCAGGATTGAGTGTCGTCTGCTACGCGGACGACACTTTGGTACTAGCTGGGGGACATGGCTTCCAGGAAGTTCTGGAGCTCGCCGAGTTAGGGGTGGCTTGTGTCGTCCAAGGGATCAGCGGTCTGGGTCTAAGGGTTGCACCTCATAAGACGGAAGCCCTGTGGTTTCACAGGAAACGCAGAGGTGCAGTTCCCACCAGAACGCTTATTAAAGTGGGGGGAACAGAGGTCGAGGTCGGGCGGTACATTAAATACCTCGGCCTCACCTTGGACAGCCGCTGGAGCTTCGAGGAGCATTTCGAGCGGATGATCCCCCGAGTTCGCGGGGTGGCGGGCTCCCTACAGAGGCTATTGCCTAATCTAGGGGGTCCGCGGGAGGAAGTTCGCCGCCTCTACTGTGCGGTGATACGATCCATGGCCCTCTACGGAGCGCCAACATGGGCCAAGCGCCTATCGGCCTCCTCCCGCTGCCGAGCGAAGCTCAATCAAGCGCAGCGGGTAGCGGCCATTAGGATCGTACGAGGTTACCGCACAATTTCGTCGGCGGCGGCGACAGTCCTGGCACGTTTCCCACCCTTTGATATCCTGGTGGATATGGACGCGAGGGTCTATGACCAGACTTGCGTGATCCGCCGGGTTGAGGGTGGGGAATACCAGGATGAGCTCGAAATGCGGCGGAACGCCCACCGACAGGCACTGGTGCAGTGGCGCGCACGACTGGAGCAGCCGCGGAATGCGCGCCAACGCGCTGTTGGTGCCGTTCTGCCTAACCTTGAAGCTTGGGTAGGTAGGGAGGGAGGTTGCGTCACATACCGACTGACGCAGGTACTCACTGGGCATGGTTGCTTCGGGGAGTACCTGAATCGGATTGGACGCGAGGAGACGGCACAATGCCAGCACTGCGCAGCCGACTGGGACTCCGCCCAGCATACGCTGGAAGACTGCCCCTCGTGGGCGTCTGAACGCGAGGTCCTGGTCGACCAAATCGGACGAGACCTGTCCCCGCCAGCAATCATTGCTGCCATGCTGGCGGGTGAGGAGGGCTGGGGCGCAGTGGTCTCTTTCTGTTAAGCTGTAATGCTCCAGAAAGAGACCGCTGAACGGGATCGGGAGAGGGCCGATCCCGAACGTAGAAGACGTCGGCGGCGATATCAGCCATTGACGGGGCCGCGGGCCGCCAGAGAGTGGGGACCTCTGGTGGCAGATTGATTGCTGCGGTAGGGAATGGAATGGCCGGCCTGATTGCATTGAGATGCGATCGGGCCGCCATGCCGTGATTGAAGGGGGAAGTGTTCTACCCTGGGATAGGGCCTGATTAGGCATGGTGTCAATTCGGGGAGGACCTGAAATAACATGGTCCGGGTCCTCCCCAGAGTAGGACACCTAAGGCCGGCCGTCGGGGTGGTTTTTAGTGGAATCACCACATACTCCTGGCTCCTGAGTCCCCGAGGAGCCGGAGATCCGAAGGGATTTTCCACCCCGTCACCAAAAAAAAAAAAAAAAAAAAAAAAAAAAAAAGGCCCGACACTGGAAAAAAATACATAAATAAAGCAACGATCGCAAACTTTGCTGAGCATTCCGGAATGTCAACGCAATCTTTAAGAGAATTTTCGTAATTACTATAACACTGGTATGTTTGAAGGTTTATCTTAGACTCCGCTGTCTGTCCGTCCGTCCGCCTGTCTGACTGTCCGTCTGTCACCAGGCTGTATCTCACGAACCGTGATAGTTAGACAGTTGACATTTTCACAGATGATGTATTTCTGTTGCCGCTATAACAACAAATACTAAAAACAGAATAAAATTAATATTTGAGTACTCCCATATAATATATCTTTATATTAACATATGGGATAATATTATTATCCCATATGTTATCAGACTGACACTTATATAGGTATATTTATACTCGTATATCCGGATGTCATAATAACAGCAGTTTCCGGATCCCTCCTATTTCAGGCGCAGATTGGCTACCGTGTGGTTTTAGGCGGTTCGATTCTGGCCACTACCCCGCCGCCAACCCCGGTGGGGTTTCCACACGTAAAAAAAGTATATATGTATATATCGTATCGCGGCCAGAACAGAAATAACAATAAAAAGACGTGGGTCACGGGTTGGAACTACCACGTTAAAGGATTACATACTCAAGCAAGACATGCTTTTCAACTATGGTTGCTAAACGGTAGGCCGTCGCAGGGGGTGCTGTATGATAATATGTGTACAGCTAGAAGGTTATTTAAGAATAAAATAAGATGGTGTCAAAATAATGCTAATCAAATAAAAATGGATATAATTGCTGAGCGAAGGTCAAATCATGACTTCAAGAGCTTTTGGAAATCGACAAACAGTTTATCTTTTAAACCGGCAATGCCAGTGACAGTCAACAATAGTCACAATATTTCTGAAATAGCAGAGATGTTCGCACAGCAATTCCAAACAGCTGGGGGGGGCGCTGGGGCGCCGCCGCCACCGACACCGTTACCGTCGTCGCCTCAGTCGCAGTGTGACTCGGCGAGTAGAAGCCGACGAATCGGCGAGTCATTATCTAACGCCAGTGTTTGTATAACTCCATGTAGCGTATTTAAGTGCGTAAAAAATATGAAGAAAGGGAAATCGCCTGGACACGACAGTCTGAGCGTGGAACATATCCTATATGGTGGTCATTTGTTGTTTGAACTAATGTCTAAATTTTACTGTCTATGTCTGTCCCACTGTTACTTACCAAAAACTTTTATGAAGACAGTGGTTGTGCCCGTGCCAAAAAAATGGGTCGGGGGATAAGTCTGACATAAAGAATTACCGTCCTATCTCTCTGGCGACCATTATGTCAAAAATATTTGAGAGGCTATTACATCCCGAATTATTAAGTCACATAAATATAAATAGTGCACAGTTTGGGTTCCGCGGGGGACACTCAACGGAAATGGCCATCTTCGCTTTAAAAAAACACGGTAAAATACTATAACAGTAAAAATACGAGTGTGTACGCTTGCTTCCTTGATCTCAGCCGTGCATTCGAGACTATAAATTATAATATCTTATGGGCAAAGATGGAGGAGGTTGGCGTGCCTTGTGACTTGCTGGGACTGTTCAAGTACTGGTATGGTGCCCAGAGTAACGTGGTAAGATGGGCCAATAAAGGTTTTTCTAAAGAGTATACCCTTAAGTGTGGCGTAAGACAGGGTGGGCTGACATCACCAACTCTGTTCAACCTGTACGTCAACGGTCTGATCGATGAGCTCGGCCGGTCTGGAGTCGGCTGTCACATGACAAATGAACCTGTCAATAACTTGAGCTACGCCGACGACATGGTTCTGCTGAGCCCGTCCGTTCAGGGTCTGCGTACATTATTAAACATTTGTGAAAAATACTCTGCAAGTCATGGACTGACCTATAATGCGGGCAAAACGGAGGTTATGATTTTTAGACACGACAGAACTAACAGCTTTAACCCAGTAATTACTATTGGCGGGACACCACTTAAAACCGTAACCTCTTTCAAATATCTAGGGCACGTAATAAGGGATAACCTTAGGGACGATGATGACATGGAGAGGCAAAGGAGGTCTATTGCCGCTAAGAGTAATATGTTAGCACGCCGTTTCGCTAGGTGCAGTAGGGAGGTTAAAGTCACCCTGTTCGCGGCGTACTGTCAGTCCTTTTACACCTGTAGCTTATGGAGGAATTACACCCAGAGAACGTACAACGCATTACGAGTACAATATAATAACGCTTTTAGAGCCATGCTTAACCTGCTGTGGCGGTGTAGTGCATCTGGCATGTTCGCCGGGAACAGGGTAGACGACTTCTTTGCAGTGCTACGAAAGAGGGCTGCTTCATTTATGAATAGAATCAGAAGTACTGCCAACTCAGTTGTCCAGGCGGTTTATCATAGTTGTCGACACAGATTATGCGATTTGTAAAGGTAAAATGACGTATTTTATTGTACTTGTTGCTAATTTTGATTTATTTTATATTGTAATGAATCTGGTGATAATAATTTTATTTTATTTTTTGTTCTAATTTTAGTATTCCGACTTTATAATTGTATTTTTTATGATTTTTACGATTTTTATGATGTTATGATTTTTACGATTTTTATGATGTTATGATTTTATGATTTTATGATTTTATGATTTTACGATTTTATGATTTTATGATTTTATGATTTTATGATTTTATGATTTTATGATTTTATGATTTTATGATTTTATGATTTTATGATTTTTGGATTTTATGATTTTATGATTTTTATGATTTTGTGTTTTTGCCTATGGGTTTATACCTGAAATAAATGATTATTATTATTATTATTATTATTATATCTCTCTGACGTTAGTCGAAGAATACCACCTATATTTATAAACTTTACCTTAACTTCCATTTAGCATCCACAACTTTCGATGAAACCAGATTTATTTCATACGTATAATAAAACTGGTCAAGGTACTTATTCAAATTTCTCAAATTATTTACCATTCATAAATACTAAAATTCAGTCGTTTCTAAACATTTGTATTTACAACTTTGTTAAAAAAAAACAGACACTTTTGAAGTCTTTTGAAGAAGATATTTTTATGAAAAAGTGGGTAAAACGACCAAATGGGTCACTTGATGGCCACCCATGGACACCTGTATCGCGAGCCGGCTTACAGTATATGCCGAAGCATGGCTCTCCCACGATCAAAATTATTTACGTAATTATTTGAGTAACAGAGATAAGAGTAACTCGTTAAAAGTTATCTAAATATAGGCCGGTATTTTATGATTAGACAGATTCACCTAAGAATGGAGTACTATTACCTGTTCTTTGGAATGTATTTTTTGACAGAGCAGCATTAAAGGTCTAGGTTAATATGAATGTAAATTTATTTTGACTTTGACATTGATGTATTTTACAGATTAGGAAAGGCTAAGGGGACACAGACATCAACCAATAAATTTATTAATAAATACTAGCTTCCGTCCACAGCTTCGCCCGCATGGATAAGGTAACCGTGATCCTTTTTTGCCCGGTTTATATGGCATATGATTTTGTGCGACATCTTCTATCATCTATTTCAATAAATTTATAGAAAACCATCATAAATTATACACCTAAACCTTCTTCAGGAATCATACTATCTATCGGTGAAAACCGTATAAAAATCCGTTCGGTAGTGTTTAAGTGGATCGCGTTCATACAGACAGACTGACGAGGCCGGATCTTCACTCACTCGATGAAAAAAAACTAAAAACTGATCAAGACCAGTTTTATGTAAGGTGGTATCGCTCCGGTAGAGCCAGACAAATTTGTGCCAAAGTATTGCTCTTCCACGGTAGCAAATCTTTCTTCAAGATAACATGAGAAATCATATTTTTTCAATGTGTTCGTTTGTTAATGCCATCTTGTCTATCTGGATTAATAAATTATTTATATATTACATACCCATGTAGATTTGTATGTAAATGATAATATGCTAACAGCTTTGTATATCCTACTCAGATAGCACAGTATATTTGAATGTCTACAATAATACATAACACGGATCCTAAAATTTTAAACATATGCTCTCATATTAAACTATTATTATTGAATATGTATGTATAGTACTGTTTAATTGTATACTCAAATACTTTTATAAAACATTATTAAGACATAGTTTATAGGTCAATATAATAAAAGTGGTACTATAAGCAAAATAAGTAATGTGCAATGTTTAATTTATTTAAATACGCTGACTGTGCTTTCGATCACTGATTCTCAACGATATTACTTTTGCCTGAACTTAGAGTTAAAAGTTACTACAGTTGTATTTCACTATTAGTCTTTTTACCGATCTAGTTTTTTATTTTTATTTTTAACTAATAATTAATTCATTAAATAGCTTACCAAACCATGACGCTTGTTTCTTAGTGATAGATAACCCTTCTTTGGCCTCCATTACTTCAGGTAACACCATCGTCACGAAACTGATAGATAGACCCAGACCGATCAGCAGGAAGTCTAACGCGAGACATGCTATAACCTGCAGAAGCAAACAATACTTCAAATTGAATAAAGTAAACAAATTCTTATAAGATTAACTTAAAATGTTTTAATTAATTTTTATATTTAATCCTAACTATTATTACATATATGGGAATGTGAGTTATATATATATTTATATTGACATCATGATAATAATTTTGAGACGACCTCAAGTGAAAGTGAATTTGTATCGATTTATATACTGGAATGTCGTTTGCTAGGTATTACTACAAATTGACAAACTTGAGCTCCCAACTTGTAAACAATTTTACATTATTTAATACGAACACTATTACTCTAAGTACCTATAACACGCGTGATGGTGGCTCAAGGAGGTCATTAGCGCCTTGGTCACGATTACCTTGTGAGAATGATAATTAACAAGTCCAGTAACTCTATCATATTTAAATTTATAAACACACATACTATATCTAATCTGTAATATTAATTAAAACTTATTTTCAAGACCCTCAAACTATTTCGTGTAGGTTAAACTAAAACATTTTTTCATGAAATACATATATTTTTCAAGCCTTTACAAGAAAATGAGTAGTTTTCTCAGCAATCGTTATTGTTTATTAGTAAGAATGTTTACACTAGTAATGTAACTAATGTTCGCATTCGCATCCTCTACAATATGACATGCGCTATTTATAAAAATAATCTAGTAATTATATTGAAATGATGTGTTTGTCCTTGTGCTACTAAATACGTAGAGTAGTAAAAAACGACGACCTTTAGTTTTCAACAAAACACCCGTGATGATGTACAGTACATCTCGGATTGCCGTGAACATTATTTTTATTCATTATTTTGTTTACATTTCTAGGATCGATACGATAAAAAAGTCCTTTTGATTGACCTTCTATCACAAGGGAGTTTATAAAAGGGATTCAGGTACACCCTAAGTTATAGATTAGACATAGCTGTATTGAGTTGATATCCTATTTTTTAAATTAACATTCATCCTATTTTTGCTATTAAATAATATCACAATTTTAAAGTAATTCTAAAAAACTACAAAGATAATAAATCACACAATGCGTTAAGTTATGCAGCCCAAAATACTACTTTGAATTATTTATTAAATAAATTAAATAATTTTATTTATTTATTATTAGAAATGAGAATAACCCAAAAGCCACAATCTTAGTGGTTATTCAATTGCTGATATTTGAGGATTTCATTTGAGTATCCTCATTGTTGTCATCTAAAGTTACATACGCGGAAACCCTTATATGATCCAAATATTTAGTTGAAAGTTGTCTTTTAACTGCTTACGACAAGGCTGTATGTTTATGATCTTAAAATGTTGTATTATAAGGATACAAGCTTCAAGCTTGGCTTCCCTAGAATTAAAACTATTTTGATATTCTTCGGGAACAGTACTTGTATTCTTCGTAGACTGTACCCTATATTCTTTTCTGTAACTCTGTAACACGTATTTTCGCTCTTCTCTCATTCTTGCAATTTACCCAAACTATAGCAACGTTTCTCGATTTTGTCACTACATCTTCTGTCTACCCACACCGTTTTGTTATCTCATTATCACTCAATGACTTACATTAAAATGTATGAACTTAAAAGTGAAAGTTCCCAAACTTATACATTTTTACAAGAGTTTATTTTTACAAGGTCCTTAATTATAAAATTACATGGTGTTTTATTAAACAATGTTACACCATGTTGCGCAATACTTAGAATAATGTTGTAGTTTTTGCTACCGAATAAACCCGAAACTTGTTAAACATTAGATGAATTGATTGATTCTTTATGCGGAGCGACTGTCATCAGACCTCCAAAACCTAAGTAAGTACTAGGCGATATCTAGGTTCTGTAGGAGCACTCTTGTCGGACTTTTTAGGGCTCCCTCTACCCGTATATTAAACTCAATGACTCTCTTACAAAAAGTGTCAAAAGTTTGCAAACGTAAGCATAGTGAAACAGTAAATCTTTTTCCTTGGTTCCTATGAGATAGCAATAGAGTAATGGTAAAGAAGTTGTTGATCTTGATCGTGGTTGGGTCGGTCTTTGGTTCGTTTTAAAAACCTGACACACAGTTTATCTGTTGAGTCTATGGGTATTTAGATGCTTCTAAAATAAATTATAACACGTTCGTACATTCGTTACATTTGTCACGGTAATTTTCACAAGTAATATTATTGATTTAAACTAATACCTCCCATGTAACAACAAGGTCAACAGTAAAAATAAAAATCAAATTCATGCTAAATTGTCCATTCCATTTGAATAATAAAGCCCTTAAAAATAGCATAGTGATATACGACCGTCAGGGCAAAATATTGAGTCTAGGTTGGTTAATATTAGTTGATTGCCCCTAAATTTAGCTTGATACTTTGGCATCTAAATTGATAAATATTATAGCCAATTGCTATAATGTATCAATTGTACATATGTATGTCATTGACCATAGATGTATAATCGAGCCGTTATAATGGTATGCGTTGAACGTGGTATGCTATACGCCACAAGAGACCTATTCAATTCATTGAACAAACTAATCGTACAGGAAGAGCTCTCAATTTTTTTTATTGAATCTTACACAATTGATTCATAGTAACATATATGTCAGTTTATTTATTTTAATATTATTTATATACATATTTCAAATAAAACAACGTATGATGTTGAACCTTGTAGCGTAGGTATGTCCAGCAGTGGACGTATTTCGGTGGAGATGATGAGGAATATGATAATGTTATTGACAGATTTATTTATATTACATATTAGTTTATAATACAGTTTCAAACAATCTTAGCTCTACAAGCATTACAATATACCTAAAAACTCTAGTCTGTTGCAAATGCCTGCAAAATATGAAGGTCATCGCCCCTTCGCGTAGTGACAGACTTGGGTTACTTACCACGACGTTGTTTCTGTTGATATTGCCGAATTGATCATTATTATAAATAAGCTAATACGACTTTCATTATTCATTAAAATGAAATTTTAATTTAATAAAATGACTGGAATTAATAAACGGAATTACTAAACGGTGGCAACGTTAAGTTCAGACGTTTATTTTGAAAAATTTAACGATATAGCAAAACCTTAAAGTAAAATATGTAGGATCTGCATGGTTTAAAATACAAGATTGCATAAAAACAATAAATCAATCTTGACGTGTGTTAAGAATTAGGAACAAATACTAAACATATTGCGATTTAAACCGTCTAGACAACCAATCGTTTAGGCACACTAAATATTTATGTATGTGTAACGTTTAAGTAGAATAAAACACACAAATAAAACGTTTTGTCTTTGCTTTACATTTTCGTCTATATTTATAAACAGTTAACATATTAAAATAATAATAATAATAACAAAAGCACTTACCTGTGAAAGAATCACTCGTGATCGGCTAATCGGTTTTTTATCTTCGGATGTTGTCATTGTAAACGGTGCACTGCACAACTCAAACACTAATGAGCACTACAGTTTTGCTTGACAGAGTTATTTGCACCTGATGCACAATATTTATTAAAGGTTTAATGATGTGTTATGATAGTACTATGATAACTTACAAATACACCTTTATGACTTCATAACATTGCTTCTTAAGTAACAGAATCTTTAGATAAATAATAAATCTTGCACATTACATGTTGTTGCAGGATCTATGTCCCGGATTCTTCGCAATTCACAGTTTCTATTTTCATACAATGGAAATTAATAAATTAATTAAAACTGAAGAAAAATTTAAATAATACATTTACATATTTTTATAAGACATTTTCTCATCCACGGTTCACATGTATAATTATGGTATCACTTAGTCTTTATTAGAAAAAATATTGCTCTTAATTGATTTTAAAAAATAAAAATAATATAAATGTGTAAATTAATTATTAATTACAGATATGTTAATCAACGACACAATAAATGAATGCCTTAAAAACTGAAACTGTAAAAAAGGAGAGTGATTCGTTCGGTCTCTCCGCCGTTCGGTCATGTATTAAACGTGATACCCGATATTCTTCAATAATATAAAAGTCATTAAATACAACTATTAATGACGGGGACAAAACTTGTATGGCTATTAGTGTAATTTAATCAAAGTAGTTGGCTCAGGACGTAACATAACGTTTTTATTCTGATTTAAGACTATTTTTAAGACATCGCTGTGACACTGGTACTCTTCTTGGACAAAAAGTTATTTAGGGTTTTGGAGAAAAAGTTATTTATGGTCACTCATTTCAACGATCTATTAAAAACATGACTTTAAACTTAATTATTTGCAAATACGAGCTTTTACTAATAACTAAGTGTAACTAATACAAATATACGTTCAAAGTAATATCTACCGCAAATACTATCACATTCATCACCTAACTTCAGTGTGCCTAACTGTGTGTTTAATATATTATTATTTGTATTGTTTAAAATATTAAAATGCACTTCACATAATCCTACCTTTCTTCTTCTGTACCTATTAAGTTGGAGATTTTTAAAATCAGCAATATCGGACTTAATTATCTGTGGATTAGCGCGCAATTTGAAATTAAAATAAATATTATACGAAATCCATGTTAATTTAATTTAAAACTCAGTCATTTGTTTTGTGATAGTGTTTTGTTTTGGTAAAATTATGGTAGTATTTGACGCCATGGATAAACTGAAGATTTATATAATTTTCGAATATGACTTCCTACGTGGAAATACCAACGCGCAAACAACACGAAACATTAACATTGTGTACGGGCCTAACACTGCTTGCATAAACATGGTCCATTTATTTGCGGCCAATTCAACAACCACGACTGGTCAACCGCTCTTCCCCTTTGCTCCTTCAAGACAACAGGAGTTCATACTTGACCATCGCAAAGCTACAAGAGTTACAGCTGAAAGCTCTCCGTCACCCACCGTTCTCACCGGATCTTGCCCCGACAGATTTCTACTTTTTAAAAACACCAGCCAATTTTTTAAGATGAAAAAATTTCAACAACCGAGAAGAACAAGCAGTACAATGCTTTAGCTGACTTTATTGCCGCCCGGGCAGCAGACTACCACAAAATAACCAAAATTTTATACATATTTTATAATTTTCATACAAATCTCCAACTTCATAGGTAAAGACCTAATTTTAATGCCATCCATTAGTGAGACCACTTACGGTTTAATATGTTATGTTATTAAATTATAGTATTTATTTAAATGCTCATTAATATCAAATTAATCTATAAATTCCAACAGATGCCATCATCATATTTAAAAAATATTTAAGGATGATTAGTAAACCAATTTATTTAGTATCACCCACATACATTTGCTCGACAAATTGTGACTAAATGTAATGTTTGTGAACATCTTAATATTGTAGTGCAAAGTTCACATCATACGCTAGCATGTGTACTTTTCGCTGCCTTTACTAGTGAACATAATTTCATACTTTTCCTGACTTTTGTGTATGTATAAAGACCATTATAAATAGTATATTTTTTCATCATATGATTAGATTCCTGTGCTACGGCCAAGTTACTAAATTTATTAAATAAAACAACATGCTCAATATTGACGCAGTCACTTTAAAATGCTGTTAATTAACAATTAAGTATATCTCTATTTCACACAAAGTGTTTACTGGTGTATGCAGCATGCGTATTTTCTTCCGTTTAGTCTCAGAACTCACAAACGGCTCAGAACTCACAAAGCCAATGCAGCCAGCATTGGCTCGATTATTTTTTTCTGTTTTCTCTCAAACAAACGTGCGTGGTCATAAGAAATAATTCTTTGGTAAGAAGTAAAAAATAGCATATAATTAACAAAAAAAATATGCCACAAAACCTGTTTTGATAAGTGTAAGAGGTCCAGAGATATAGCGTTGGCTACGCTGGCTTAAGTCTCAACTCAGCAGGACCATTGTTTTTTCGGAAATGGCGATAGCAAAATAATCGATTCTTTGGCAAAAAAAAACCGGTCAGGTACGAGTCGAACTCGTGCGCCGAGGGTTCCGTACCTACCCAGATTTTACGTAGATTTTCGCGAAAATTTGTAAGTACCAAAATTTATTTTTTGAAATGATTCCTTTATTTGTTCTGTAATAATAATGTTTCGTTTTGCCAAGTTTAGTGATTCCAGGTCAACGGGAACTCCTACATAGGTTTTCGACCCAAAACCTATAGGGTACTTCCGGTTGACCCAGAATTGTCAATTGTGGTTAAAAGCAAGGTCTTACAGCACAAGTAAAGAGAAAATTCTTAAAAATAAAAAAAGTTGAAAATTAAGGTAAATTTTGGTACTTACAAGTTTTAGCGAAAATTGAAATTTGCCCATATCTTTTTATTGTGTTGACTCAGGACCTTGATTTTGTATACACCAAATAGGGACCATAGACCTTAGTATCTGGTATAAATTTTAACTTGCTAGGTCTACCCGTTCCTGAGAAAATCGGTGGTGACACACGGACAAACGGACAGACGGACAAGAAAGTGATCTTATAAGGGTTCCTTTTTTACCTTTGAGGTAACGGAATCCTAAAAATAGCAAATAATTTGCAAAAAAAATATAGTGTAACTTTTATTACGGCCCTATGACTTGGCTGCGCTAGCTTCATATACTATGTTATGTATGTTAACAATAAGAAGATTTCTTAAATATTTTATACACTTATTCTAGCTAACAATATTTATTTGAATAAATGCGATAAATGTTTTTAAAGCTATGTCTAAAGAACACATTTCAAGTGTAATACTAATAGAAATAAAAGTAAATAGTGGCAACTTAAATTAATGCTGGCCATCAAGTTTATACGGGGGAACCACACGATCTCGTTTGAGGGCCTCCTGGCCGGAACTCCACTGTGGGTCCGTGAGGCGAGAGCCCTTGCGGCTTTGTATCGGTGGCGCAAGGAGGCGCGGGAGTTGGGTGTGAGTCCAGAAATTCGAGAAATCGAGGATCAGAAATCCTGGTTCCGCCAGGTCCTCGTAGAAGAGTGGAACTAACGACGCAGGTGATTACCGTGAGAGGTTGTTTTGAAGATATCCTGTGTCTGATCCGCAAGGAGACAACGCCTGAGTGCCTCTGTGATGGCCGGACCGTGGACACGGCCCTCCACACGTTGGCAGAATGCCCGGCGCGGGTGGAGCATAGGCGTGACCTGGTATTGGCCATCGGAGTAGGAGTCCTCTCGCTCGGTAGTATGATTGCCGCCATGGTACGGAGCGAGAGTGCGTGGAAAACCGGTGTCTCCTTATTTATTTATTTATTTAGTGGCGGCGAGACGCGCTGCCGAGCGCACGCGCCCTTTTGGTCGCACAAAGGAAACATGGGGGTTCCCACACAGAAGGGGGTCATCTACACGCCGTGGATAGCCCAAGGTACGTCGGGGTACCAGGGGTTCCTTTCTAGGGTACACCTGATTCCCCGGCTACTGGTACCCGAGATGAGGTGAGTGAGATGGTTTTTCCAACATAATCATCCCACCTGTGGGTGATATCCAAGGGGATATCGGCAGAGGAGAAAAAAAAAGGGTGCGTGTTTCGCGATACACAGAGCGAACGCTTTGTTAGTCTTTAAGTTTTTTGTTTGTTTACTCGGTTTGTAAAGGCATATAAAAAGGAGAAAATACAGATACGATCTGTATGTTCTCTATTATTTGCCATAATGTATTTTTTAATCTCGTTTTCACTTTATACGTGTTACGCATCGGTATAATAGACGGTATAATCGCGGCATCGCTGCATCGGTGTGATGGGCAGATGCGGCGACCTCATATTACCACCGAATACTGCGCATCGACTACACGAGATGCCGACTCAACAAATGTGCTTCGCCATCGCTCTCATTTTATTCCGTTATAAGTAATTGTGATTATATTTGAATAAAGTATGAATCTTTCGTAGTACACACATCTTGTAGTTTAAAGTTGTTTTCCTAACTTTTTTTTTTTAAGTCCAATCAAAGCATCCTCCGACTCCAGTAAACTTAATTGGCACTATTCTAATCGGTAGGATATTCAAGTTTCACATATCATTAACCTAGTCAATAGTCGCTGTCAGTCATTCCTAAGTTGGATTTCCGTACTTAAAAAGTATGCTAAGTAAGTACTTGGATTTTCTCAATGTTGCTTCCCTGACTTTCCCTACCCAATATCAAAATGTCTTGGATGGGTTAAGTTATAAATAGATATTTGGTAAAGCTATAGAAGTATTAGATTAAAATGGGGATCGAGATTCGTTTGATGTTCAAGGAGGTTTTGACCTACTATAGCACGCTGGCCAGACGGGTGGGTATGGGATTAGTGTCAAGTTTTTCTTCACTTAGCAGTGTTGTTGACCTGCTTAGTTTGCTCCCTTAGTCGGCTCTTATGATACCCACGAGATGAATAGGGGCAGTGACACTCCGTATTCTTAATCCGTTACCACACGAAAGACACAGAAGACTTTTTAATTTTT